TCTGGAGCCCGAGGAGCCAGTATGCAGGCTTTTACGTCAGGACCGAGGGTCTTCTACCAGACAATGCTCATTTCTAAAGCAATCAGGGCACTCAGCCTACAGGTTTACAGTGAAGCCTAGACATGAACTTCTCAGCAGCAGTCTTTGAGGTTAGCCATGTATACCAGAGGTAACCAAGGAGGCCTGGTTGCTTGTTTTAATTGTGGAAGATGCCTTTCACACACATTCAATTTTCCCTGTGATTTATCACTTCTCCAGGTGCCTGAAGTGTTCTACTTCATTTCGAAAGCCCTGCATCTCCAAGGAGACTCTGCAGAAATTGAAGATGACATTGACGTTGGACTTTTCTGTCTTCCTGATCCAGGAGAGGCAGCTGGGCTTCCCATAAATGTCAAAGCTCTGCTTTTCCTGCTCCTCCACAGTGGGACATGCAGTCTAAGCCATCTACAAATGAAGTAAGCCTTTTCAGCTCCATGACCCCCATAATTCCTTAGAAACCCTCTGCTCTGTTGGAGGTTATGGGCATGAGAATGATGACTTGTTTGCTGGCTCTTTGATCAACTCCAGATCAGGAGACTGAAGTAAGAATCTTGAGACTGACAGGATGGCAAGGGTACCTGCTCCATGATGTTTTCACCTCCAGAGTATGGTGACTGAGCTAACTCACACCTGGCTACCACTGTCAGCAGCACTCTGGCTCTGAAGCCCAAACCCTTGGTCCTAAGGTGGCCTGTGTGCCCACTCATCTGGATTGCTGGGTTCACTCTGAAACTCAGGGCCCATATGCCAGGAACACGTGTCTCTCTCTCCCTCTGAGAGTAAAATAAACCCTGGTTCCCCAGGGCAGCTTGCTGACTCAGATGCCAATGCCACACCAGTTGCACTGATCACCAATCGGGAAAAGTGGAACATAAGATTAGCAGGAGGAGAAAAAAAATCGTAACCTTGTAGGCCCAAAGCAAACTGGAAGAGGAGTCAGAAAAGCCAGTTCTGGCTCTAGAAGTTTTTCACATCCATCACATGTCAGTTAACACATCTAGTGCTCACTGCCAGTGTAGACTTCAATGTGGTAGTGCAACTCATAATTCCTCCTTCCTCCCCATCACTGGTCCACAAGCAGATGTTCATTTTCATACAGTTAAACCCTCACTGTGCACTAAGTGCCTCATGTGACTTCTCTCATTTAACCTTAAAACAATCCTGGGGGTTGGGGGAAGGAGGAGGATGATGATGGTGGTGGTGGTGATGATATAATGGTAATGATTTGAAGCAGGGTCTCACTGTGTAGTCCTGCCTAGCCTGAAACTTGGTAGGTAGATCAGCTGGCCTTAAAGTCACAGAAATCTGCCTGCCTAGGATGAAAGGTGTGTGACACTATACTTGGCAGATTATTTTTATGATCTCTGTTGCTATTGGGATCTAATACAGGGCCTCATGCATGCTAGCAAGTATTCTTTCATTGTCCCTTTTCTTTGAGACAATATTTTGCTTTGTTACTCAAGCTGTCCTTGAACTTGTGATTCTCCTGCTTCAGTCTTCTAAGAAGCTGGTTTATAGGTGTGAACCATTGCCAGGCTTCATTTATCTTTTACAATAAGGATTCTATCTCTTAAAAAAGCAAAAACTGGGGCTGGAGAGATGTTTCAGTGATTAAGAGTACTGACTGCTCTTCTAAAGGACCAGGATTCAATCCCTGGCACCCACATGGTGACTCACAACCATCCGTGTAACTCCAGTTCCAGAGGATCTGAAGCCTTCTTCTGGACTCTTTGGACACCAGGCACAAAAATACTATAAAGACATACATGCAGACAGTATATTTGTACACATAAAAATTTTAAAAAGGAATGCAAAAGTTATTGAGAAAGGACAAGAACCCCACTTCTTGACATTCTACTAAGTGTCAGGTCCAAAAGAAACTCAAAGCAAATGGCTAACTGTGGTGTCTATTAGCACACCACAGCACAAGCTACCCTACAGGAACACTCAGGACCGGTGGTTCTTCCACCCATCTCCCTGTCCTAAACATTCCCAGCTCATGGGCTTCCCTTCCCTCCAGCTTCTGGCCATTTCAGCCACGTGCTTTCTTGGTCCCTCTTGATCTCCTTTGCCTACTTCTCTCTCTTCCTTCCTCTCTTGCTCTCCCCTAACCTCCTCTCAGGGCCCAGTCTAGTCTGCTGGCCATGTTCAGTGTCCTATTTTCTCTCCCTGCTCTGGACTCTTCCAGATGCCCTGGCTGCACTCACCCTCATGTCTCCAATAAAAACTTCCTCAGCCATACCTTGGAGCAATCATGCCCTCACTCTATATACTGAGAATCCAAACCCTTGAGCTAGCTTCTTGGTGAGGCAAAATAGTGAAAGCAAGACCATCACCCCTGGATTGCAGCGAGACATCTATTCTTGAAGAAACCTATGACCAAAACTCACGAAAACAGAACAAAAGTCAAAGTTGCCAAGTTTGGACACAAGGTAATAGGTTCTCAGGAGACTGAAAACTCTCCAAGTCACCATCAGCCTTTACATTTCTGTGGTGGTTTGAATAGGAATAGCTTCCATAGGCTCATATATTTGGATATCTGGTCATTAGAAAGTGGCACTACTTGACAGGGATTAGGAGGTCTGGCCTTGTTGGAAGAAGTGCAGCCTTGTTGAAGGAAGTGTGTTTCTAAGGTTGGGCTTTGGGGTTTCAAATGCTCAAGCCAGGCCCAGTCTCTCTCTCTTCCTACTACCTGCTGGGATGTAGAACTCTCAGCTACTCTTCAGCACCATATCTGCCTGTATGCTGCCATGCTTCTGCCATGATGATAATGGGCTAAATTACACCTCTGAAGGTAAAAGCCAGCTCCAATTAAATGCTTTCTAAGAGCTGCCATGGTTATGACATCTCTTCACAGCAACAAAAACCCTGACTAAGACAGTCTCTCATCCCCAGTGTCAAAACAGAGCTCTTCCCTTGATACGTAGGTACTCACACTTCCAAAGCCAGAAGGCTCACTTTTCTGCTAGGCTAGCATTGGTTCAGATGGTGGGAATGATTTGTGAGCCACCTCTACACAGGCTGGCGCCCGTTAATCATGACCCCTGGTTACTAGCCATAGGGACTAGTGAATGAAACATTCCTCCAACTTCCTGGACAACAAAACCATTATTCGGTCTAGACTTGCTGAAAGAACTTACATCATATTGAAAGCCAAGTTCTTGATTTTTAGTAGCCCCTGGTTAATCAGAATTCTCAATTAGATAGAGTCTAGCAACCCGTTTTGAAAATAACTTCACATTAAGACATTCATGTAAGTGAATGAATGAATGAATGAACGAATGAACAAACGTTTCCATATGCAGCCACTCATTGCTTGATGACTGGGTCATGCTGTGACAAATGTGCCATTAGATGATCTTATCACTAGGGGAAAAATCATAGAAGGTGCTTTTTACACAGACTAAAATGGTTGCAATGCCACTGGATAATACAAACTTACAGAACCACTACTGTGTACTCAGTCACTGGCCAAATGGGGCTATGGGTATATGTTTAAAAATAATACAAAGCTGACTAAAAAGGAAACTTCCTTTGTTTAAAACAACTCAGTGAGAACTGATGAGCAAAATTAGGACCCTGAAGAATGCAAATATTCTGTATCACACACAAAAAGGATGACCCCACATTCACATGAAGCTGCTTAATTTTATGCAGGGAACATCTGATGCACAGGGTAAAAAAAAAAAAAAAAAATCAGGATTTTCTGCTTGCTCTGTGTTAACCAGAGTTCGTGAACTATCACAGATCCACTTGGGCAGAGATCCACCTGCTCGCCTGTTCTGATGGTCTGCTTAAAGCACACCCTGCATGGTGTTAGGGTAACAACACCAAAGTGAACATGAAGCTGAAAAATAGGAGTCCATTCACTGTCAGGCTCAAATGACTCTCAGATTAGTGTTCATGCATGGATTCTTGGGACCTCTGAAAGCTCTTATTCACCTAATGAAAGATTTGCCTGGGACTTAATAGTTAACCTTCTTTGCTGGGACAATGAGCAAATAGGAATCTCCTAGGTAGAAAGTTCAGAGTTTCATTGACTTAACTAAGTGAGGATGCTAAGGGTCATAGCCTATAATCCTGTCAGAAAGTGTCAGAGGCACAGTGGCATTGGGATGACTGGGAATTAGGTGATAACAGAGGTAGGGTGACATTTTAATACTGGGCAAAATAAATTCCTTCTACTGCCTAGGCATGTTGAAAGAATAATCTGCAATGCTTTAATTAACTGACTCAACACAAATGCTGTTTGCTCATCTCCGGGGTATTTGCAATAGGACTGTTGCAGATGAGATTGTCCATGCACAGATCCCTCCATGCTGTGGGAAGATGAGGGGTGGGGTGGAAACCAAAGTGGCCTTTAGAGCACCCATGGGACAGCCAGCTCACTGCAACTGGCTTAAAGACACACCAGTGCTCTGGGTTTGCTGCCCTAGGGAAGAAAAGGGGCATCCAGAGAATGGGAAGTTTGAGAGGAAAATGAGAACGAGTGACCCACACCCAAAGCCATCAGCTGTGATAAGTCTGCAGAGTGCACACCACAGAGCAGGAGTGATCTCATACAGAGCCACCAGTCTTAAAAGATTCAGAATGTACCCCATTTCCATGCTAGAGTTATCTGTCAAAGGAGTACACCACCAAGAAGACAAAGGACTTGGAGACAGATCTGACTGGACAGGAAGCCATGACCTTCCGCAGCCCAACAGTGACACGGGATAGACAAAGCAACCAGTCCTGCAGCCCCATGACATGCTCTTCAGAATGAGGCAGCCTTCTGGACCCTAGAGGCTGGTCTGGGTCCCCCATGGTAGACACCTGCTCTCACCCTTAAAGCATGCTGTGGCCAGGCCCGAGGCTTTGCCTGCCCTCGGGAGGGCTCTACTGGCCCAAGGACAGAGACAGGCAAGCTCATGCATGGGTTAGTATAACAGACGGCAGGACCATCACCACAGACAGAATACCTGGGAATAACCTACTTTGAGGACTCAAATGCAGATAGGTCTTCTGCCTTGGGCTTGAGGCTAAACCAGCAAAATAAAACGAAAAAAAACAAAGACATACCCTGTGAAATCAAAATGCCATACGTGCCATTTGCAAAATGTTCAGAATCAAGACAAGTGACTTCATATACTTTCATGGCTTGAACACAGGCCTCTGGTTTTCAGCACTCCAGGCTTTTGTGGCTGAGAGCCCAGGTTACCACAGAGCAGCAGCACAGGCTACTGCTCAGGGTATCCAGATGACAAGGAGGCAGGATGAGGGGTCTGAAGTTGCTCCCTCAGGGCTGTTTTGGCTTAAGGATAGAGGCCTCCATATATTTTTTTGTTTTTGTTTTTTGAGACAGGGTTTCTCTGTGTAGCCCTAGCTGTCCTAGAACTTGCTCTGTAGACCGGGCTGGCCTCGAACTCACAGAGATCCAACTGCCTCTGCCTCCCAAGTGCTGGGATTAAATGTGTGTGCCACCACTGCCTGGTGAGGCCTCCCTTTATGAAATAGGCAGGGTCTTATATAGCTCAGGCTTAACATGAATTTTCTATGTAGCCAAAAATGACCTTCAATCTTCCTGCCTCCTCCTCCTGAGTTCTGTGGGCTACCATGCCTGGTTTTAACTACCTTTGATGTTTAATAATTTTGTTTGAAAGGAGAAACCCAGAAAACAACAGGCGCTGGGGGAAATAGTGTGTGGTGTGTGGCAACGCCTCCCCTGGTAGGTTATGGTATTGGGAGTAGTTCTCTACTTGGTGTCCACTGTAACATGTTAAGAAGTAGAGCTCCCGACTCCGTGTGTGTGTGTGTGTGTGTGTGTGTGTGTGTGTATGTGTGTATGTGTATGTATGTATGTGTGTATACACCCACACACCAGTGAAATGTAGGGAGATATGAGTTTCTCTGGATTTCCAGTGACAACTTAATCACTGAAAACAGAGACAGTCCTTAAACTGGAGACTGCTGACTGAAATAAAGAGTAAAACTTAACTACATTAGTTATCATTCAAACTCAAAGGAGAAAAGGGTCTTATTCTGTAGCCCAGAATGGCCTTGAACTTGCAATCCACCTGCCATTCACTCCTAAATGCTAGCGTTACAAGAGTATGTCACCACACCAATCACTTTATAACCCCTGTTTTACAGGGACAATCAGCTAAAAGCATTAACTTTCCAGAAAAAACTTCCTGCTTTGCCCAAATAAGAGATATGTACATTCTCAGGCTGATAACGAGGACTGAGTAACTTCTAAAGTGATGAGCACTCTAAATATCAGGAGAGGCAGATGAGACTCTGAGCCTCCTAAATAAAGTCTCATCTTCTTAAACATTACAGCTCTCCTATATTCTGCCTTTTAAGTATGAAAATGTTGGACATTCATAACATGGTCTTACACAAAGACGAGAGGGGACTCCATTCAACAGCCTTTAATTCATTCTGCTCTCTCATTAATTAAGGCAGTTCCTTGGGCATAAGTTCCACTGGCTTTAAAGACAGAATCACTTTAGTGCTCAGTGATAGATCAAAACCCATCCTCAAACAGGGACTCATCTCATCAGAGCTTTTAACACAAGCTCCACTTCCATCAAGCCAATGGGTTCATGGTCATTGGCAGATTAAATTCTTTCTGTCAGGAGTTGAAAAATCCCCTCAACTAAGTACATGTTAAAAAAGAGAGAGAGAGAGAGAGAGAGAGAGAAGAAAGAAAGAAAGAAAAGAAAAAAAACAAGAGTCTAATGACTGGGCTCTTGAGGAAACTAGATGCCAACCTCATATTTCATTAATAAGTATCCTGTTCATCAAAACCCAGGGACTAGGGTACCTTTTTAATGGTATTGTGCTTGCTACTGGTGCCGCCCCTGTCTGAGTTCTCGTTGTGTAGGATATCCAAGGCTGTCTCCCTCTCTTTGAGTTTCAAGGCCTCGATTTCCGTCTTGAGTTCATTGAGCTGCTCTTGCAGATGCTTGCTCTTCTCCATGTACTCCACTCTGTGGCAAGAGGAAACCATGCATCAGAACTGGGCAGACACTGAGGCATGGAAGGGATGCATCATAACTTACAAGCTGTTCGGTATGATAGCCAGGAGCAGCCTGGGGTTCACACCTGAACCTGGCCACGCAGAAGCCAAGGGAGCTTGGGCTACCCACTTAACTGCTATGAATCTCTTTTCCACATCAGTGCAATTGGGATAATAATTACAGAGCCTCTGGTCAGGAAGAAATGAAGTGTAGGAAGAAAGCCCTGTATAAACTTTCAGAGTGTTCTCCAAATAACCCTGCCACAGACAGCTTTCAGTTCTGTATGAAGAATCACATCAAACAAACCTCCTGAATCCCAAAACACTCTTCTGTTTCTGCCCCTCCTGAAGCAGTCAACCAAGAGATCTACTCTCCCACTTATCCTGAGACCTTTAGGAAAAGATGGCAGACACTCACTCAGCCAACACTGAGAAAAAACAGGTCTCCACTTTCACCTGAAGAGGTTAAAGTGTTTAACCATAAGAGCATGAACAGAAAACCATATAACACAAATATAAGGAAACATTCTGAACAGATTACAGCAGCCAGTCAGTGGGCTCTGCCAGCCTGTGTAGGAAATAAGTGCTATGGGCTGAATGTAGTGCTGTCCCATTCATAGACTGTGGCCAACTCACTCATGTATTAGGAGGTGATGCCCTGGGAAGTAACTAGTTCAGCCTCATGATGGGATTTGTGTCCTTAAAAAAAACAAAAAACACCCTAAAGAGATCCTGACACATACGAGTACACAGCAAGGGCCATCTATGAACAGGAAGAGTACTCTCATTGAACTCTGAGTTGACAATACCTTGACCTTGGATTTCTAAGCCTTCAGAACTACGAGAAGTAAATTTCTGTTGTTTATAGGCTTTCCAGCTTCTGGCATTTTGTTATAACAGCCAAACACACTAAGTCAGTGAGAAAATACAAACTATAAAAAAACCAAGGCACAGGACAGGATGTGGCCTTATGCTGATCACAACCACATAAACATGTACATCTGGACAATAAGAAAGGGACTCAGTCTGATGCTGACAGCAGCGGCTCTGGATCACAGCTCCTTAGCTGTTCTCAGTAGAGGGATCAAAGGAGGATAGCCTGGTTTATGATGGTTCATGCTGGACTGCAGAGCCCTATTCTGAGAGTACCACAGTGAGTAAGGGGTTTCAATCCTTGTCCTGCTCCTCATCAACTATGTGATGCTGGGTGACTCATTAAGTCTATTCTCTTTTATATAATTAGAACACTAAAACTGTTTTTTTGGAAATAGGGCCTCATGTAGCTCAGGCTAGACTTGAATTTGTTAAGTAGCCAAAGATAATAATGCAGTTCTGATCCTCATATCTCTATTTCCTGAGAACTAAGATTACTGGTGTAGGCACCATGCCTGACTTATACTGTGCTGGAGATTAAACTCAGGGTTTTGCACATGTTGGGCAAGCCCTCTACCAACTAAGCTATATCACCAGTCCCTAAAACCTGCCTTTGATGCCAGTGGGATATTTGTTGACTAGTATGAGTTAAATAAGACAAACCCTAAAATGCCCAGACTTACAGGTGCTCAACACATAGGGCCTCCGTGATTGTTCTCTGCCAGCTGTGGCACTATTAACCAACTTACTCAAGGACTGAGGGGGATCTTACTTAGATTTCATCTACCACGGGATTCCTCTCCATCTCTGCTTCACTTCCGCTGACCACAAAGTGGAGGTGGAGGGCACTTGACAGAAGCAGCTGTGGTTTGGCTGGTTGCCAGCAGGACCCACGCTTTGCTCAGCCTAGAAACCCTGTTTTGTTTTTTGTTTTCTTTTCCTTCACCTTTGTTTTAGACATAGGAACCACTGCTGAAGAACATGACCAGAAGAAAACTAGTTAAGCACTATGTGAACAACAGTCTGACTCGGGGACTTACCATGATCCAGTCTTTTTGTCAGTCAAGGTTTGAACCACTATAAATTCCAGGCCACCAATCAAATGTTATTTTTCTTCTGGGGACACTGACTACTGTCCTGATCGGTCATCTTTAATTTCTAATTAGGAAATTTGTTCTCCTAGTGGGTGACAACAGAGCAAACCTTTGCAGGGATAATGACTGACTGACTGCTGTGGTGACCTTTGTGTTCCCAGACCAAATCTACTCTCTCATGTTCACAACTGCCTCAAGCAAGTAGGCCACAGAGGGTACATACTTTTCTTTCTCTATCTCCATGGAAAGTCTCTTCATGTCAGTATCCTTGAAGTCGAATGATAGGCTGTCACCAATGATGTTGAAGCTTGGTATGTCAGGAGGCAGTGGTGCTGGGATTGGGTTCACAGGCTGTCAGTGAGAAAACTCAGATTAGGAGGTTTAAATTACACAGGACAACGCCCTTTGCACTCAGTACTGCAGGGAAGTGGTCCCAAAGCACCCACATTCAGACAAAGTCACTCTTCTCTCCTCAAACCTCAGCATTTCCATGATCATTTGAATCAAATGCAAATTTGCACTCAGCTTTACATGTGGGAAACTCCCAGGCGTGGGGCTATGAGCTGGACACAGAAAAGACAGGCTCCCTGGCTCTAAGCACATGAAAGTCTTGTTCAGGAAGCAGATGTCTACAAATTCTCACAGTAAGTTAAACACTAGCCAGGACAGGAACAGAGGCTTAGGAGGCTGGAGGGGGTCACTAGGGTACTGCTTCCATGGGGATCAGTGAATAAGCCAAAGAAGGGTACCAGAAAAGAGGCATGGTGGTAGGCAGAGTGCAGGGGTCCAACAGGAGCACTGGACATCTGTAGTGCCCGGCAGGGAGGTTGGTAGGAGACTGGCTTTGGACCAGAAAGGCTTTGCTCATATGTTACAGGCTTAGATTCAGAAGACACAGTCAGAGGAGGACTTGAAATAAAGTAAAGTCACTAGACTTGTTTTCAGGACCTTTTCATCCCAAAACAAAAGGTCACCTAGCATATAGCCCCTAGCTACCTCTCATATGTTCCCCATTATTTGTCCTGTTAAATCATAAACAGCACTGCTTATTATCCCTTGGGCCGTGCCAATTTTGCATTTGTGTACTTCTGCATGTATCCTTCCTTCTTTCCCTCCTGGCTGCTTTCCTCTCTTCCTCTTTCCTTGTCATTTTCCTAGTACCATTTTCATGGTACTAGGGGTGTGCATGTTAGGTAAACACTACCACTAAGCTATATCCGCAGCCCTCTTGTCATTTTTGAGATAGGGTCTCACCACATAGCCCAAGCTGGTCTTAAGCTCGTGAGCCTCTGTCTCAGCCTCCTGAGCACTAGGATTACAGGTGTATGTCATGTCTAGCAAGTTCTCCATTCCTTCTTCAAGGTTCTCAACTCCTTCAGTCTCTTGCCATAGCCCTCTTGGCAAAATGGCTGCTCTTTCCCTTTGCAGTTCTTTAGCATAGTGTGCACAGAGCTGCAACAGGTCTTTCCCTCAACCCCACACTGCGAAGTTCCCTTATGGCTATCTTTTCCTCTGTCTACAAACTTCCTGAGGGTACACTGTCTTTATTCATCCTTGGACTTTTTTTTTTTAACCAAGTCTGGAACAGTGTGTGGAAGGAATAGAACCTCTGAACTTTCATTTATGGCAATGAGGGTCATTGGAGAGCGTCTGTGGAGACAGGGTCTGTGGAGAGCGTCAAACATGGCTCTGAGCAGGGACATCTGGGCCCCACTCTGCTTTCAGAGCTGAATGCTGGGTATATGAGAGTCTGGTCTATGAAAATTCATCAGGATGGATAGTTATAATTTAGGAATATTTATTTATCTTATACTTAAAAAAAAATCCCAGGAAGGAAGAACACTAGCTGTTACCCTTCTGGTGACAGCAGAAGCTAGCATAACCTCTTCGGTAAGTATCACAATTGAACATCCGACCTCACGGTTCTACTTACAGGAACTGAATCTACCAATAATGCCACATATGTGTGCAAAGATTTGTGTTCAGGGATGTTCAGTGCAGCTGTATTCAAAATTGCTATAGAAAACATACTAAATATCCATCTATAGGGACTGGCTAGCCGAATTACAATCCACCCATAGGCCATGATGTGATTAAGGACGCATTGCCAAAGGAAAGAGCAAAGTTTTATAAATTTATAAAGTTTGCTCCAATAGATGTTTTAAACACATGTATTTCAGGTACGTAGCCCAGCTGAGCCCTCAGACTATCACAGTTCCAGCTGTCACCTGAATGTGACCATCCGAGAGATCTTGAGAGAAGACATGAGCCTGATTAACACAACATGCCCAAGACACAAATAAATGGTTGTTTGGGGATTATCTGTTACCCAGGAATAGATAACAAGGACACATGGCAATAGCAAACTGCTTGCATTTCCTCAACTCAAACCCTGGGCACTTATGTCTCCGTGTCCTGAATGCATCTGTGTAATATGTGAATGTGCCATGTGCACAAATGTGCTGTGTTTGTCATATACACAACTATGCAGTGTGTGTGTAGCATATGTGTGAATGGGCTATGTGTTTGTGCTGCAAATACATTGTGTTCTTACCTAGAATATCCCATCCTCTCTTTCCAACTCAGCAGGGAATCCAGCTCCTCTGCAAAATGCAACCATACCAAGCCTTTCCTGTCTCCAGAGCTGGGCTGTGATCTGGCACCTGTGCATATCTTCAGGATAGAGACTGGCAACTGATAGTATTATATGGATAGAGAACAAGTGAGCAAAACCTTTACAGAGTGGAATGTGCAGAGGAAAGGAAGGAAAGTGACATCTATTTATCTCGTGACCCCCATTTAGTACAAGTCAGTCTCCCAGTCCCCAACTGAGGTTGGCAGCTGGTTCTGGCACAGCATTGTTGCACTCTGAGGTGTAGAGTCAGTCCCTCCACAGAACTATATTATGGTACACAGTATATACTGACAGCTGAAGATTACATTTAGCTTGGCATTAGGGAGCTAGACAGCAAATTCTCTTGAGGGTAGAGACTATAGTAGTAATAAATATTCCAGAGCTGGAAACAGCCCTATGGTCTGTTATCTAAGCAACAAGAGTGGTAGCTGACTAGTCAGTCCAAGGCTAAATGGCAGATTAGGAGGTCCTATCCAGGCTTTGCTTTGTTTTGTCACCCTGAAGACACTGTGAGGTGAAGTGCAGTGCAGGGAGGGCTTAGGGAAGTTGCTAGACGAAAGCAGCTAAAGGCTGCTAGACTGAGCCCAGACTCACTGGATATGTGGGCTTGGTGGCAATTTCCAAGAGTTTCTGCTTGGCTCTTCGCTCTGCTTCTCGGGCTTCCTGAAGGTCTTGCTTTAGCTGATCAGCCTCTTTGGCCCTGCAAAGAAAGAAAGATTTGTCAGTTCCACAGATGGGGGACAGAGAGAGTGAGTACACATTTACCTTACCTCCAGAGCAAGGACCTGAATTAACACTGTACATGGTACCTAACAAGACAAATAAGGACAATGTGACAGGGACATTTACAGGAAGCCAGAACTTCTAAAGTGATAACAGTATTCCTGGGTGCTGTTTATCTCAACAGTAAAGCTAGACTAGAATATGGAGTAGCTGGTGGGAAACAACAAATGAGGCAGCCCTGCAAGCCAGTAAAGTGGGTTATGCTTGTGGTGGCAGCTACCCCAGAGGCTGAGGCAGGGGAATTACTTAAGGCCAGGATTTGGAGGACAGCCTGGGCAACACAGGCAGATGCAATCTCAAAAGAAGAAAAATAACAAGTGTGGTAGCCTATGCCTTAAACTCCAGCACTAGGAAGCAGAGGCAGGCAGATCTCTTGAGTTTGAGGCCAGTTTAGTCTACAGAGTGAGTTCCAGGACAGCCAGGATTACATCCTGTCTCAAAACAAAGAAACAAACAACAGCACCACCAACCCACCTCTAAAACGGGCTGAGAGGAGGGAGAGTGGGGAGGGCCCAGAGACGCTCTGCTTGTCTCTGGGTGAAGAGTGGGCTAGGCAAAGGAAGGCATCACAAGTCTTACACTGAGGACATCATCATAAGCCTCCCACTGGGCCACAAAGGGCAGAATGTGAAAGAACTGTTTTTCACATCTCCAGTAAAACACTTGGAGGCCAATTATCCACTTTGCTTGGGCAGGAAGAAGTCCCATCACTGAAGGCATCTGTGTCTTGGTGCAGCACTCTGCTCTATGAGTTGGTATAGCCATGGAAGGCTTGTATAGCTAGTGGTCCAACCCAAGAGACATGATGCACACACAGAAAGGAGCCTGGGGTGAGCAAGCATCAAGGAACCATATACTCAGAATGACATGCAAAAAGTGGTGAGGGGCTGGAGAGATGGCTCAGTGGTTAAGAACACTGATTGTTCTTCCAGAGGACCAAGGTTCAATTCCCAGCACCCACATGGCAGCTCATAACTCTAACTCCAAGATTTGATATCCTCACACACATAGATATACATGCAGGCAAAACACAAATGCACATTTGAAAAAAAAATGGTGAGAAAAACTATAGTGAATATACCTAAGTAGCTAAGAGCCATATTCAAGTCCTCTAAGTCATAGAGCCAGATGCTGTGAGGATGTGCCAGTGTTTATCTAAAGGCTACAGGACTAGAACAACTCAAAGTCTAGAATAGTCTAAAGAGTACAAACAACAGCTCTATCCTTCAACCTAGACACAAGGTGGGGCAACCTGGTCACAAAAAAACACAGCTGCTCTGCTCCCCTAACTACCTGAAAAACTGCAGGGAAATGGGTACTTACTTCCCTTTTGAAGTAAATAATTGCCATTGATCTGCATCAAAAGGGAAAAGAACCATTTTGGGTTTTTTTCCCAATCTCCCCCTCCCTGTATTTCTCTCTCCTTCTCTCTCTGCCCCCACCCCTGTGTGTGTGTGTGTGTGTGTGTGTGTGTGTGTGTGTGTGTGTGTGTGTGTGTGTGTGCAGGTGCAGAGGTCAATGTGGGGTATAACCCTCTATTGCTCTCCACTTTAGTGGAGGGCTTCTCAATAAAGGAATAGCTCATTAATTCAACTACACTGGCTGGATCAGCCTGTCTTTGCTTTCTCTCCTAACTCCTGTGCTGAGGCTATAGATACATGTCACTGTGCTTAGGTTTTACATGGGTGCTGGGGACACAAACTCAGGTCCTTATGCTTGTGCAGCAGGTATTTTACTGATTAGCCATCTCCCTGGCCCCACTTCCCCTTTAAAAAATTATTTTATTATGTGTATGGGTGTTTGGCCTGCATGTATGTTTGTGCACCATGTGCATGCCTGCTGCCCATGGAGGCCATAAGAGGGGGTTGCATCCTCTGGAACTGGAATTACAAATGGTTGTAAGTCACCATGTAGGTCCTGGGAATCAAACTCAGGTTCTCTAGAGAGCAGCCAGTGCTCTTAATCCATGAGCCATCTCTCCAGCACACTGCCCCTCCCTCTTTTAAATGCAAAAAAAAAAAAAAAAAAAAAAAAGAGGCCTCTTCTTATCTCTTTGGCTAAAAGCAGCCTATGGATATGCTTAAATGTTTTTCCTGCAAACCTCATGAGTAGAAGGAGACATGACAGAAAGGTTCCCTGGACAAGAGAACCTCCCATCCCACCAGCCTGTCAAGGAAGAAGTCTTATAGTCCTGTTCCCACAACAGAGAAGTTTAAGGATGCTGTAACCAGCTCTGGTAGGGTTGGAAGCAAGCAAGCAACCCTTTACCAGGCTCCAGTGCCCAGGACAGCCACTCACCTCCTCTCTGACTCCTCAGCCATCTTCAGTGCTAGCACTTCCGCCTCCAACACCTTCTGCTCCATCAGGCGCTTCTCCTCCTCTGTCCGAATGGCTGTGGCCTTGATTCGCTGCATCTCTTGCTCAGCCTCTGCAGCCTTTTGTGCCAGAAGCTTGGCCTCCTCCTCTGTGATCTGCGCCTTTTCAGCCAACAGGTCAGCGGTTTCCTCAGACCGCATCTGGGAAGGAGAGTGCTCTCAGACAGTGTACAGGCTTATCTCCTCACATCTGGGAAGGAGAGTGCTCTCAGACAGTGTACAGGCTTATCTCCTCACATCTGGATTCCCCAACATGGCAACAAGAACCAGCCTTTTTTTTTTTTTAACTTTTATTTTTATGTGTGTAGGTGCTATGTCTGCATACATGTCTGTACACCTATATATGCAGTGTCTTAGGAAGCCAGAAGGGGCCATCGGATCCCCTGGGGCTAGAGTTACAGAAGGTTGTAAGCTGCCATATGGATCCTCTGGAAGAGGAGTCAGTGCTGCTAACCACTGAGCCATCTCTCCAGCTCCAGGAGCCAGTCTTAATCTCCCTGTACCTTCCCACTGAGAAATACTCAGTCTGTCTGACAACAGATGACATGCTACACACCAACTATTCAGCTCTGCAGGCTCCATCATAGAAAAAAGAAAAAAGCATTCTAGATAGAGAATGCATTCCAGCTAAAGCCTGTGTTTGTAGGGGAATAAGCAATGTAAATTCTGTTCTGTCCCTTTAAGTCAGTGATTCAAAGGCAGGAGTCATGCCTACTGCCTACTCCTGCACAAATGTCTGGAGACTATTTTTCTGCAGTGCTGGGGAATTAAATGCAAGGTAGACTGAGCATGGTGGGTATGCCTCTCCTCCAATCAGGACCAAGAGTGCAGGGTTTTCCTTGGTTAAATAATGAACTCAAAGTCCAGCCTGGGGCACCTGAAACCTGTCTTCTCACTAGCCATGCCCTAAAACTGAATACATGAAAACAAATAAAAACATAGAATCTTGGGCATGCTAGAAAAGGGCTCTGCTCCTTAGGCACATCCCAGTCCTAGGACATTTTTAAGGTCGGAGTGACATTACTGGCAGCTAGCAGGTAGAGTTACAAACATCTTTCAAAAAAGAGAACTACTCCCAGATTATGGTTGGTATTCCCAAGAATTGGTAGGGCTAAGGCCAAGAACCACTGATTCAAAGGCAACTCAGTTATGAAAGTAGAGTTTGGCTGCAAATGAACTTAACCAAATTTTGCAGAATGAAAAGGTACTGGTGTTTTAAAAAGTGAAGTCAATCATGGTCCACAGGAGGCTTAACTCCACAAGTCACCTCCCAGAGCCCTAACCCAGAAATCACCAGCGCTTCATTGGCCATGGTTGCTTCTTCTTTCATCTGCAGAAGCCTCCTCTCTAACTCATCCCTTGTGCGCTCAGCCTCCTCCCGCATCTGCTTCTCTCGAGCCAGTCGCTGACGCTCCATCTGGGAGTAAGAGAACAGTTCCAAGTCACAGTGCTGCAGACACCCAAGAACGGACAGTTTCTGAAGGCTCACTCTCCTCTGGGGATCCTTCTAGTGTCTTCACTTTAGGTAGCCTGGGTCATTCTCGTTGTCTGCTGCCCCCTGTCCTAAACTAACTGCAGAATTAAAAGCTGTACTCCTTGAAACAAATTCCAATAGGGAATACAAATTACAAAACCCAAATTCAGTCTCCATGACTTCACATGGCTCTGTTCTATGACTGGCAGTTCTCCACATAGTTCCCCCTTCCCCAAAGCAGTGGCCCAGAAAAAAACAGCTCTCTCATCTGTTCAGATGAGCCACCTTGACACTGTTAGTCCCTATGGCCCCTTCACACAATTTCATCCACAATAGCGCACTCAGAATTTCACTGCAGGAAGCTGCAGTGGCTTTGCATAGTCTTGTACAGCCCCATGTGGAGGCAACTCAGAGCCAGGCAGGAACACAAACCCCACCCTTACAGAAACAGTACAAAGCCTCTACTGCCACCCCCAGCCTTCTGGATCACAGTGTTAATTGGGCCACCTGCCAAGCTTAATAAGGGACCAAGACTAAAGACAGCACAGTTCTCCGTGACTCCAGGGCACTGAGTTCAGAAAGCAGGAGCCAGAAGTGACCAAGGTACTATTTTCTGCCTTAGATAACAAAATCATGTTTAATTACTCTTTCTGGCTTCAATCTCACCCAAACTCTAGTACTACAAGGCCACCCTTTCTAAGTATGAGCTCCCTAAGCACCCTGTAATTGAAAGAATCATGCAAAATAGATAAGCTTTAAGTTCTTTGAGTTTCCTCTTGACCTCAGTGAACAGTCGGCAATCTGTTCTTCAATTCCCACTAAAATATAATTTCTATTATTCTCTTTTTGAAAAAAAAAAAAAAAAAAAAAAGACCTGGCTGTCCCCAGTTCCCAGCCTTGTACTTTTCATGAGACTTTTACCCTAAATAATACTGACTTCCTGTTTTCAAAGCAGGTTATGACTTACGAAGATTTCCAGGTGCAATCTGTCCTCTGAAAAGAGGCATCACCAGTTCCACTTGACAGATGAGAAAACTGAGTCACACAGACAAAAGATTTAGCTGTAAGATCACCATGTTCCACTGGATGCATTTGCACTATTCCCTTCTAGGGTCCAGGGGCCTTCACTCGCCTTGCTGCCTTTAGATCTCTAACTTCTAAACTTTCCTCTGCTGAAAGTGAGGTCAAAGAGTGTGCTTCTTAAAGTCATCACTACACCCCCATGCTAGCTTAGTAGCATTTTGTTGTTGTCCAAAAGAACCTATACCATCATCCCTAACGCATTAAAAAAAAAACACTGATGGCCCATGTCCCAGAAAGCAAACAGAGGGCAAGCTCATAGAGCAATGGCTCAAACTGCGCATTTCTCTCTAAAGCCTGGTGCTGGGAGCCAGCCTCTCTGGGCTTCCCAAATCAGAGAACACCACACAGACTAATTATTACACCTCTGAGCTTACAAGTCCTGAGGGGAGCCAACTGTAGCTGTAGCTACTCTATCAAACACATCATCCCAAACCACAATTGATATTCTCAGCAGCAAGGCTCAAATTAGCTGTGGATTTCAGTGAGCAGAGGAGTCTGTGAGCAGAAAACATCGATGCAGCTAGTCCAGTCTACTGATAGATGCTGCTAGCACCTCCTGCAGAGGGCCAGTCATGTATGCCTAGGTTGACCTGCAGTGAGGAAATGCAGCAGGAACCTAATCAACATTCTACAACATGCCCTGAATGCCACCTTGTATTCTATCACCATCTAATTAGGAGGGCACTGACCTGGTAGAGGAGACAGACATAAAAAAGGACAGAAAGACAAAACCATGCCTGGCTACCTTGTCCCAAGTCTGTGATAAGTATAGAAATGATAAAGATCTTTTGTTTTTAAATATGCTATTAGAATTTAGTATTAATTTCCTTTAAAATTTTTATTATGTTTATTTGTGTCTGTAAGTGTACATATAGCAGTCAGAAGACAACTTGTAGAAGTGAGTTTTCTCCTTCTATCATGTGACTCCTGGCTATCTAACTAAGGTTGTCAGGTTTGGTGGCAATTACCCTTACCCACTGAGCCATCTCACCAGCCATGTGCTTATTTCCATAGCTGACACCCCATTATCTGGGCATTAGCTAAAAAAAAGATAAAACAGGAAGGAAATAAGAGCAGATACATCTATTACCAGGCTGACAGCAGCCATCCCTTATCTCATAGGCCAAGACTGACCAAAAGCAATACCAATTAAAACAAGGTCTTTAGGCCAAGTGTGGTGGAACACGCCTTTAATTCCAGCACTTGGGAGGCAGAGGCAGGAAGTTTTCTGTGAGTTTGAGGCCAGCCTCGTTTATGGAGCAAGTTCTGGGACAGCTAGAGCTGTTACACAGAGAAACCCTGTCTCGAAAAAAACCAAAAAATAAAACAAACAAAAAAGCCAAACCAAAACAACACAAGATCTTTGGTTATTATTATTCATTATTGTGTGTTTGAGTGAATGCATGAAATGTGTGGTACATGTCCTATGGTACAAGTGTGGATATCAGAGGACAAGTCTGGAGTCCGTTCTCTTTCCATTTTCCACCAACGCCCGGCCAAAGTAGATAGATGTTCTTAAAGAATGATAATAAAGGTTGATCTGTGGCCTCCAAAATCAAGAGCACAAATACATATATACACAAACCACATGAAAGGAACAGAACCTGAAGTCTTACCTGCTTTCTTGCCTTCTCCTCCCTGGCCTGGGCTTTCATCTGCTGAACTTCTAAAGAGTCAGCCTTCCTTCTCCTCATAAATAGGTCATGGTTCCCAATACACAGCTGGAGAATCTGTAGCCACAGAAATAGAAAACATGTTAAGTGTATACACTTACTTTGCTGCCTACCAGCCCACCATGCCAGCATCTTGGGCTCTGTGAGCAGCAGTAAACCAAGGAAGAAAGAGTGGATAAAGCACAAAAGCCCTGCTAATGTCTTCTAATGCTCTCAGTTCTGGAAACATGTATGATGAAGGTGTCTCAGACAAACCAGGAGATCACAAGTGAAGAGAGGACACTGCATTAGTTAACCAAATGTACCACAGTCTCCTAAGTCAAGATGTGGCAGGATAGATAGGGGGACATGGAAGACCAACCAGGAAGTTCGGTTGGGTTAAAGGTCATTCATGTGGAAAGAAATAAGCTCTCCTTCTCCCTCATACCAAAAAGCTGATTCCAGTTTCAAAGGTAATTTGAAAATATAGAGTATTTTTTAATCAGGAAAAAGATGTCAAGTAAAAAAACACAGAACAACAAATAATTGAGGATTGGTTTTTTTTTTTGGTGGGGGGCATTCTGGGTCACAGCCCTGGATGTCCTGGAACTTGCTTTGTATACTAGGCTAGCCTCGAACTCACAGAGTTCAGCCTACCTCTATATCCCAAGTGCTGGGACTAAAGGCATGCACCACCACTGCCTGGCTATGACCAAATATTTTATGTGTTGACATGAAAGGTGAAAATTTTTATTTGCTATAACATCATAAAGAAGGAAAATGAGCCTCACAAGGAGGATAATAATTAATAAAGAAAACAAACAAACAACCCAAGAGGAAAGTGGCCAAAAGACATGAAGCAAGAATTTAACTGAACAGGAAACTAGATTTGGTCAACAAATACAAAGATGTAACTTCATCAGTAATTATAAAACGCAAATCAATATGGCAAGTGGAGGGCTGAGATGTACCTAAGGTAGAGTGTTTCCTGACATGCACAAAGCCCTAGATTTTATCTCCACTCTCCCCTTCCTCTCCCCAAAAGGTTAATTCCATAGGTTAAATTAAAGAGAAAAGTATTTACCAAATCATGAAAACCAGGATCTCAACTTACCAGTTTATTAACACGAAGCTTTGAGGAGTTAAATTTGAAGACATCAATTTTCTTATCCAGTGGCTTAATAGTAAACTGAAAGAAAGGAGTATAGTTTCATATGACACCAACTGGGAATCCACATAAGTAGCAACCACACTGCCCCTAGTCCTGGCCTCCTGGTGCCCAAGAATGAAGCCTCGGTGAGTCAGAGGTATACAGGGACCAAGACATGCTGCAGAATTTCATGACCCTAACCATCTTGGGTAGATGTGAGGAACTGACAGTGACCTGGAGTTGGAATCCATGATGGGTCTGCTCTAGAGGCCACACTGGCACAGCTCCTTGCCTTCATAAAGCTCAATCTAGTAGGACTTAGCCCAACAACAGCCAAATACTCAAGAGATAACACCATCAGGGTCTCTCATCGGTGGGGCATGTCATAAATATGCTAGAGGTTTAGAGCAGATATAGTGCGAATGGGAGGTATTACAGTTGATCTTAGATGTATATGACAGAATAGCTAAAAGATAGGGTAGAGAGACATTTTAGACAAATCTCTCTCTCTCTCTCTCTCTCTCTCTCTCTCTCTCTCTCTCACACACACACACACACACACACACACACACACACACACACACACACAGGGAGTAAGACCAAAGTTTGAAGCCAGCCTCTTCTATAAAAAGTTCCAGGCCAGCCAGGACAACATAGTGAGACCAGCTTCAAAAACAAAACAAAAAAGCATATCTAGATCAAAGAATTTTATGTGCATATATGAAAATGTTTTGCCGACACCCATTACTTTATCCAATTAGCATTGCTAACAAATATTGTAAAATTGCATATATATTCTCAAGAAAGACTTGTACAGCTACTCCCAGCAAAGCAGGAAAAAAGTAAATAAATGATTGAGCCAGAGGTACAGCTCTTGCCTGCATAATATGGTTTCCATCCACAAGACCACTAAATATAAAACAGAAAGCAAAATAAAAAGAATGGGTTGCTTAACAAATAAACTTACCGGGGAAGGCAAATTCTTGGGTATTTATTTACATGTTTATATTGTCCAATGAGAACTGAACACACAAAGAACAACAAAAAAAATTCTTTGCTTAGGATCTGACCAAGTTAATTTAGTCATAGTATTGCTCTGGTGTAGAATATTGTTTATGAATTTCATAAGCTTATTTCTAGCCTTGCTAATGAACCCTAAAGCTGTCAGTGGGAAGCCACAAAAAGTATGGAAACCACAGGCTCTGTGTCATGCCAGGCTGTACACAAAGAAAATCAATCATCTTAAACTATTTTAGCAGGATGGCTGCTATACATAACTCCCAAGAGTACTTCCCATTATGGCATGCCAAAGTAGCTTGGGGTCTGCTTGCCAAGTAAGGTACTGATATGATGGAACATGATGGTACCTTGCCCCTGGAGAGGGCACATCAGAGTTTGTTGTGTTAGAGGCTACACTAGGGGACCTTAATCTGAAAAACAAGTATTTGAGGAACCTTTAGTGTACAAATGTGTGATGTGTGGTGAATAGCCTTTGTGAAGGATTATTCACAAATAGGGAGGTGAAGGACTAGTTACTTTTAAGTCATGTGGAGCTTCCAATTTAAGAACCTGAAAAAAAAAAAACAAAAACAAAAACAAAAAACTACCTAATACTCACTTCTCTGGATAACAAGCTACAAAAACAACTGTCAGGATGTCTAGATTAAGAAATGCAACTGAAAATGAGCAGTGGTGGGGCATACCTTTAATCCTAGCACTCGGGAGGCAGAGGCAGGCAGATCTGTGAGTTCGAGGCCAGCCTGGTCTACAACAGCTACACAGAGAAACCCTGTCTCGAAAAACAAACAAAAAACAAAAAAAACACAAACAACAACAACATAAAAGCAACTGGCCTGGCAAATGGCTCAGTAGGTAAAGGTGATTGTCACCAAACCTTAAGAAGAATGGAGTGTGATCCCTGGTACCAACATGGTTAAGGAGAGAAAAGATTCCTATAAGTCGTCCCCTGAGCTCTACACAGTCACCCTGGCACACAATACACCCCTTCCTCCGATAAGTAAATAGATAAATGTAAAACAAGCAGCTCATTTTGAGTTTGGTGTGATGATGCACACCCGTAACCCAGCATTTAGGAAGCTGAGACAAGAGGACTGTAAGTTCTAGGCCATGTAGAAAGACCCTGTCAGAGACAGAAATGCAGGGAGAGGAAGGAGGAGGGGGAAAATAGAGAGGTAAGTTCAAGCATGGTTGAGTAATCTAAAGCACAGATTGGAAACAAGGGCTTAGTATTTCCTTGAGTTGCTAAAAAAGAAACAGGCAATTTGCTCCAAGACCTGCAGACAACATAAGCTATCACTGTTACTCACTGCTACTCTGCCATAAATGTGCACAGGCCAGGCTGCCTCCTTCTGCCTGGCATCTTGTGTTCTCAGGGTCCAGCCTCTGGGACCCCCTGATAAGTAGGAACCACCCTAGCTCCCAGACCTTGCCACTCAAACACAAGATCTCAAGGTATCTGTTTTCTGGTGACATGGATACCAAACATGTCCCTGGTTTTACAGTAAGTTTCTTCTGAGGACTAGATCAGATAGCCAGAGTCAATGCACTTGTAAGTAGCGGCCCTCCACAATCACATCACCAGCCCCTCCCACTTCACCCACTTATTTGTTTGTTTGTTTGCTTACTTATTTATTGATGGGAGGATGGAGTACATGCCCAGGCATCATGTGCAGATACAACCTGTAAGAGTTAGTTCTCCTTTTTTCCCCACCGTGTAGGTCTTAGGGTTTGAAGTCGAGAAATTCAGCTTGACAGCAAGTACCTTAAGAGTAGTCAAGTCATTAGTGAACCATGATTTCCTGGAGGGCTAATACTGGACTCTCTACATCTCTGGTGTCTGGCACAAAGCACATGTTCAATATCAATAGGTCCTTTAAAATTAACGTATAGAAAGCCAGGGTGATGCTTTAGTGGGACAGCGATGGCTGGGTTTGATCCCCAGCACCACATAGTAAAGATAAAAAAAAAAAAATGAATACATAAAACATAGGACTGTTGCATTTGGAGGAAGCTATCATCTTACACAGAAATATGTGAATCCACTCTGGCCATAGTGGCTCACGCCTGTACTCTGAGTTTAGCAGGTTGAGGCGGGAGTATTGTTGTCAGTTCAAGCCATCTTGGGCTACAAAGAATACTTGAACCCAATAAATGTTATCTAAGTTCCTCAAACTACATCTTCTAACCCTTCTAAATATGGCAGCCTTCTATCTTCATTCACATCATTGCTGAGAGGAATACCCACTGATGGCTGTTATTGGGTGTCAATTTGACTGCACCTGGAATCAATTAAAACCCAAACTGCCAGGCACTCCTGTGATAGATTTTCCTTCTTTCCTTTTTGATTTTTTGAGAACTGTGTAACAGCATCCTATAAACTTGCTCTATAGACCAGGCTGTCCTCTAACTCAGAGATCTGCCTGCCTTTGCCTCCAGTGTGCTGGGATTAAAGGTATGAGGGATTTTCTCAATCAGGTTATGAAGCAGGAAGACCCATCCTAATCTGGGCCATATTTTCTGGTGGTAGCCCACATAAAAGGACACAGATTTTGCCTGCTTGTTGTCACTTGCTAACAAGTTTATATACCCTGTTGCTGTAGCATTCCTTTACCAACATTAGAACAGATTTCATTGGGATTACAATAGACTAAAGACCAGAAACTTTTCAGGAATCCCCCAGGCCTTCAAAACTGCAGAGACCCCCCCCCCAAAAAAAAAAGGTGCATGCCACTGCTGGGCATTGGTGGCGCACTCCTTTAATCCCAGCACTCAGGAGGCAGAGGCAGGTGGATCTCTGTGAGTTCAAGGCCCAGTCTTCAGAGCGAGTGCCCGGACAGGCTCCAAAGATCAACAGAGAAACCCGTGCGGGGGGGGGGGGGGGGGAGGGGAGAAAGAAAAAAGAAAACTGCAGATACATCCATCCTTGTGGACTGAACAACTACTAGATTCTCAGTCTCTCCAGTGTAAGACAGCCATTGTTGAACTACTTGGACTACATGCTGTAAACCAGTCTAATGAATAACCTTTTAATTTACATATTCATCCTATCAGTTGTTTCTTTAAAGAATATTGACTAATACACCTCCTACAAAATACATAACTATCAACCTGGCATGGTGGTTCACAGCTTTAATCCCAACATTCAGGAAACAGAGGCAGATCTCTGAGAGTTGAAGGCTGGTCTTGTCTACATAGAAAATTCAAGGTCAGTCAGGACTACAAAGTGAGATCCTGTTAAAAATCAAAACAAAGCACCCCCCCCAAAAGTACACACACACACACACACACACACACACACACACACACACACACCCTACCTTTTCCACTACATGTAACAAACACAATACATAGGGAGAAACTTAACATAGACCACACTTAAAATACAAAGAAACAGAAAGGCAAGTAGTCAGAAATGTTCCTTTTTCCTTCTTTCTGTTCTTTGGGGTTTAGTCCTGACAAGTTGAGCTGCTCACTCTCCTGTTAGTCAATAGTAGGCTTTAGCCATGCCCTTTGAAGAAAGGATGCCAAGACTGTTCTGTAAGTACTTTAGAAATCAGCAACCAAAGTTGTAAAGCCTGGGGATTAAAAGACTTTCTCTGACAAGGAAATGGTCTGGCTTGGAAAGCTTTGGCAAAAAGGAGAATGGGTAAGGGCCTTTTGCAGAACCAATGTACCACAGTGGTACCTGTAGTACAGACATCTCCTACCTCCTTGTCGCTGTAGGAGATGTTTCGGATTTCATTCCATGGGAAGGAGATCTTGGGGGTCAGCCTGTTCTCAGGGTCATAGATATGAAGCCCTAGAGCATCCACTCCAAGCAGCAACTCTGTGCCCTTTTTATTCTGCAGAGCCAATAAAGAGCAGCTTTTGTCAGCTTCTGGCGGCGGCGGCGGCGGCGGCGGATTTTATTCAACTTTCTAAAGAATCTGGCACACACTGTTACATTTGACAAGTTTCAACAAGTCCCAACAGAAATCACAACTCTCTTGCAACCCAGGAGGCTTCCAGGTTCTGGATTTAGGGAAGCAGAGGCAAAACAATACCATTTTTGTGACTGGTATGTCCCCTGAGTCACTGTGGACTCCGGCTCCTGTCACTGGCTTGGTGGCTGAAGAAATGATAATTTAAATGTTGTGAATACTAACTAGTTAAATAGCCAGATTATCAGAGGGAGAACCAAAACCCACATATTTGTACATTTCTCTCCTTATAAGAAATGGTAGCTTCATGGTGCCACTGTTGCTTTGTGGTAGTGTTCCTGTCTGGCACGTACAAGGCCCTAGATTTGATCTTCATCATCTCACACACACACACACACACACAAAAGCTGTTGGATTTCTAGAAGAAAAAAATTTAAGTCTAGGGACTAGATGGCCTTATTTTAGGTTACAATGCAGTGTCAATGTAGTTTTACTATACCATACCCCAATATAGTAAAATGTTGACTGCATTTTAGGGGTAGTTAGGTGGTGGGTATATATGACATTCATTGAAAACTCAATTTTCTCATATGCTGTATAATTAAATGTTGAAAGAAATATAAAAATAAATTGCATACAAATTATACTTCAATGAAGTTGTTTAAAATGTTAGTTAACTCTATGAATGCTATTATACCTCTGAGAAGGGTCCTGATCAGCAGTTAGTACAACCAGAGGCTTAGTGCCCTGTGTCCCAAGTTACTGACCCAGATCTGGAGCCACTGGCTCCATCCTCATAGAAAGACCAATTTACCAGTGCTGTAGTTTAGCCTTTGTTGTGCAAAAAAACTCCCTGCACACACAAGGACACTACAGCTCCTGCCCCTTGCTGACAACAAGGAAATTAAGCCAGGACTCAAGAGTAGGACAGCAGATCTGCACACTGAGAAGGTGCTTGGGCTGTGACGAGAAGTACCAATCTAACAGCAGGTGTCAGATGGGGAGGTGTGCGCTCAAAGATCAATCTCTCTACTCCTTCTAACACCTGAAGCCAGGCGCTGCCACCCAGGCATAAGAATGTTCTCCTTGTCTGCAAAGCTTTTAAAAGTGATGTGTTGACAGCAATGAGGCTTGTGTTCTTATATCTGTACCCCATTTTGGAAAATAAGGTATTTTCCTTATATTTCTGATAATTTAGATTAAATAATAATAATAAAAGATTCCACCCCTCTGCTATCATTATGACTATGACACTTCTAGAGACTAGAGAGGGTAGCACAAATAACTCCTTTGAAATTTTTTTAATCACTTAGCACCCCATTAATATGTACAAGTACCTATTTATCAGTTAAAATGTTTTAAGCATCTATCTTCCCTAGTTAATGAGAGAATTTAATATCTCTAACATAAAATTACTAAAATGTCTGTGTCTATTGTTCAACATAAAAATCAAAAAGTAGTTCATGCTCATCTGACTCATGCAGAAATATTCCTATGAAGAAGACAACTCTGGCTTTGGTACTGTTGAGCAGCTTAGGGAGTCAAAATGCTTACTGTTCCACCATTTGATGACCTGAGTTTGACCCACCAGAACATGGTAGAAGAGAAGTCTAGCGTACCACCAGGAATAAATAGATAAACAAATGTAACAAATAAATATATATTTTTTTCTTCTAAGTAAAATAAATTTATAAGAAACAATGGCAGTTTTTTGGGTTTTGTTTGAAACAGGGTTGCTCTGTGAAGCCTTGGCTGTCCTTGAACTCAGAGATCCACCTGCCTCTGCCTCCTGAATACTGGGATTAAAGGTGTGTGCCACCATCACCCAGCCTAAGAGGTTTTTTAAGGATTGTAAAATGCTTCCTTCTTTCCTCCTTCAATATAATTAATGGTGGTGGTGAGCAAGAAAAGTTAGTTGGGTTGACAAAAATCACAGAAACCCACTAGTCTAATCTCAACGAAACGGATGTTAGATTCCAATGAATGAAACTTATTTAATATTTGCATATTTGCTTATGTGTGTTGTGTCTGTGCATGCATGTTTATGCCACAGCACACATGTGAAGACCATAGGACAATGTGTGGAATCAGTTCTCTGCTTTCACCATGGGGATGCATTCCATGGACTGAACTCAGGATGTCAGGCCAGGCAGCAAGTGCCTCATCTACTATTCCACCTCACTGGTCTTCATGAAACATTACAAATTACCTTCTGCAATCTTTTTTAAAGATTTTTTCATTATTATTTTTAGTTACATATTTATATATCTGTGTACATAAGTGTAGGTGCCCTAGGAGGCCAGAGGCATTAGATCCTTCTGGAGCTGGATTTTCAGGCAGTGTGAGCATCCCAAACTGGGAGCTGGTAACTGAACTCAGGTACTGCTGCAAAAGCAGTATGTGCTCTCAACTGTTGAGCCATCGTTCCAGACCCTACAACCTTCTGCATTCCCATAAAATACATTTCTAGTCACCTGCTTATTGTAGCAGAACATTTCAGTGTGCCCCATTTTTTTATGCAAAGAAATCCACAAAAACCTGTATTTAGGAAACAAATTAAGTAGAAAGCTATCCTAGAATACTGGAGGTGTGCTTAATTTAATTTACTCAAAGTTAACATAAAGATGTAGGAACCCAAAAAAGGAATTCAAAGAGTAACTGCAGCTGATCTACTCATCTGTGACCAGGCATCTCAACAACCACTCATCCACCAGTGAAGAAAAGTTTGGGTACATTGCATTGACTCCTTTGGAAGAAGCCAAGGATACACTGCAACCAGCAGCCAAATCCCCCAACAGGAGAAATGCATGCTCTAGTGCTAGACCTGAGCAGAACACAAATGCCTTTCTCTGCAGAAGTACTGGTTCCCAGAGGCCTGGGGACCATTAATGGTCTGAATAGAAAACTAATTAGCCTCACAGTAAGAACAAGAGTTCCACCCAAACAAATTAGGAATCTATAAGAGCAGCCTTACTTTCAGTGGGCCCCAGGGAAAGACACTATTTCCAGGTGCTCCTTGGATCTTACAAGAGGCCAGAATAATCAAACATTACATGGCCAGCATTCCAACAGGTTTTTGCTGAAAAGAGAGCCAGGTCTAAGTCCCTGAAGGTACCACTGACACTTAATTACCTCTGATCTAATTTGAAGTCCAACTAAAAGACCAGGCTCTAGACCTGTCTTCCTCTTTTCTTCTTTACCACCGAATCATAAGACTCTAATTACCCTGGGATGAGGAAGTAACCTATCTGGCTGTGTGACCCTGCTCAGTCTATCTGGTAGCCAGGGAACTTGGGGAGGAGTCAACATACCCGGATTGCAAAGTAGTTCACGCCGTACATCTCCAGGTCCTGAGCTATCTTCAAATACTCCATTTCAGCTTCATCCCTGTGAAGAGAATGAAAGAACGCTTGTCACTGGGGCTAAGTGACAAGGGTGGAGGACAGACACTTGCCAAGTCAAGTATTCTAAGCATGCCTTCCTATGGACTCATGGCACCTGCTGAAGATATGAGACAGACCAGACACCAGCAAAGCTTTTCCCAATCCAGAGTCCCCGTGAAAATAAGAAAACAGACTCATTACACTGTCTCTTGGCTTCAATTTCACACTCTGCCCTTGGTAAATAGTGACATCTGTCTCAAATGATTAAAAAAAAGAATGTGGGGGCTGGGTGTACAGCACTTGCTCAGCATGTGCAAAGCTCTGGGTTCCATCCCTAGCAATAGCAAAAAGAAAAACCAAAACCACAGCATGTTATTTTCAACCCCAGATGAATTATTTAAGTTGTTGCCTTATGTCTGTGCACTTTCTTAACCTAGAGGCTTTAGTAGTGAACAAGCTTTTCTACACACCATGACAGATCTACCTTCCTGATTCTGTCTCTTGGGGTACTGTTGAAGGTCAAGGCAGGAACTATTTGAGCCATAAAACCCAGGCCAGTGGGTGAATACTTGTCTGTTATAACTCAAACTTAAATCAAGCTCTGGAAGCAGCAGTGACTTGCAGAAAACTCCCCACTAGGTAAATGTATTGAAGAAATTTAACTCAAGCTTCTCCATGACCTTGTCCTTGTCCTTCTCTCTCTCATCTCAAAATGCTCTCAGATGGATTTTTAAAATTCACCCTGAGAGAATGCCAAGTGTTGGCAAGCAGGTGGAAGAACCAGAAATCACACACTGCTGATGTAAATTGATTCAATTACTTTGGGAAACTGTTCAACATTACCTATAACAGCAAAAACCAAGAAACAGCCCAAGAGTCCTTCAACGGTAGAATGGATAATCTGTTGTACTAATATACCAGAATTCTGCACAGCTATGAAAATGAGATTATTGCTACATGCCATGTACTCAAATCCCACAAGATGATATTGAGAAAAAGAAGGCACTTAATAAAGAAATTGGTTGTATTTATCTAAAGTTTAAAATGGGTGATGGTGGGCTAGAGATGTAGCTCAGTGATAGAATAACAGTTAGTTGCCTAGCATGTGAGAGACCTTGTACTTGATCCTCAGCACTACAAATTAGTAATGTAACAATGGCAAATGAAAACACTAGTCTATGGGAGCACTAATTAGAAACTGGGAAATTGGAATGGAAGTGATGGTGCAAGCCTTTAATTCCAACACTGAGCAGAGGCAGGCAGATTTCTCTGAGTGTAGGCTGGCCTGGAATATACAGCAAGTTCCAGGACTTCAAGAGCTATGTGGCGAGACTCTGACTTAAAATATAAAAAGAAATTGGAAAACTCGTTATCTTTGGGAAGAAAGGAAGCTAAGAAGTCATGGACTATTTCTTATCTTTTTGTGGTAAATGATCAAACAGTGTACTTATGATCTGTCCATTTTGTGGGTATAAAGGAAAAAGAAAAAAAGATACAGGAGCTAGAGAAATGCCTCAGTGGTTAAGAGCATTGACTGCTTTTCAGATCCAGGTTTAATTCCTAGTATACACATAATGCCCCACAATCATCTGTAATTCCAGTTCTGGTGCCTTCTGGCGTCCTCAGGCATCAGACATGTGTACGTGGTACACATACATATAGGGAAAACATAGTGAAAGATATAGTAGGAAGCTGATTTGAAGGATTAGGGGTCGGGGGCTAGCCCAAAGATGATCAACACCTAAAGTTACCAAGGGAATACTTATAACTATAAATTTTTGTTTTAATTTTAATTTAGTAAAATTATAGATTGATTAAAAACAAATGTTGAAAGAAACCTAGGGTAGTGGGAACATTCTACTAACACTGGTGATGAACATGTGCCAAAAGGCACAAATTTATTTATATTATTATTTTGCTTGTTTTTCAAGACAGGGTTTCTCTGTGTAATAGCTCTGGCTGTCCTGGAATTCCTTCCTGTAGACCAGTCTGGCCTTGAACTCAGAGACCTGCCTGCCTCCGGAATGCTGGGTTTAAAGGTGTGTGCCACCACTGTCCCCCTACAAATTATTTCAGAGAGCAATTTAGTTTCACCTGTCAAAACACAAAATGTTTGTGTCCTTTAACCATAAACTCTTTTCCAAGTATCTACCCTCTAGACTTGTGAAACTATGTAACAACATTATAAAAGTGAAATGTATTCAGATATTCTAAATACCATCAATATAGGCCTGAACGCAAAACAAAGGGAGGGCCTTCAGACAGAATATTAAACTAGACTGCCACTGAATATGCCAGGTTCTGATAGGCAGAACACATGACCACTTTTGTTTTGTTTTGTTTTGTTTTTCGAGACAGAGCTTTGGAGGCTGTCCTGGAACTAGATTTTGTAGACCAGGCTGGTCTCCAACTCACAAAGATCCGCCTGCCTCTGTCTCCCGAGTGCTCGGACTAAAGGCGTGCACCGCCACCACCACCACCACCACCTGGCTATGAGTTTGGTTTTCAACTCAGAGTCTCACACATTCTAGGCAAACGCTCTACCACTGAGCTGCATGCCCAGATTGTCATGTGCCCCTTTTATAGCAACACACTACAATAAGGATGCACATGAAACTGAAGACTATCATTATTCCCAGTTCTTGCTTTTCCTTTTATATACCTCAGGAATACATTTTGATCTACAAGCATGCCCTAGTTTCATAGTTCTTTTAGGGTGGGGGAGAGGCATGAAGAAATGTAAACAAGGATAAAGCAGCCTCACCTGGCTCTGCCCCGGTGCTCCGCGTACCAAGCAGTAATTCTCTCCTCCCACATTTCCGGAGTCATCTGATATAGATTTATCACCTACCAAAAAGACAGCAAGAAGAAAATCCACATGCACAACAAGTCTGGGTATTTCTTGCCATTTTTATAATTATGGTTCATTTTTACAAACAGCAAAGCTATTTTTAAAAAGCTGCACGCAGGGAGAGTCACACACAGAGGTGGGTGTGTAAACAAGAACCATTCCACTAGAGGATCAACCTGCAAAGTGCAGCATTCCTCAGTCCTAACTACACTCCTGAGCTGGGAGCATCCACTTTTGCTTCCAGGTTGTTCATCTAGGGACCACCTCTAACAGTAAAGCAGTACTTACTCACTCTGGCCTTCAACTGCATAGAAGCCATCAAAGGACAGATAAAAGCAAGGAAGGGTTGGGGAAAGCCTTTATTACCCAGTGACAGATGATAAGTGGGGCTGTAAGAAGGGAAGCAGCCAAAGGCTGCTTCTGTGTCTAATGAGTAAGATGAACAAGAATGAGGATTAAAAGCCCTACCTCCACCTCATCTTCTCCACCCCAAACAGCTCAATTCTGCACAGCGAACACATGGTCTCATGGCTCCCTTAAGTCAATGCCACTCAACTACCTTTAGAAATTGCCACACCAGAAAAATATCTACAGGCCACACACTTCCTAGCAATTCGACATTAATTCCACAAACTCTTGCATTTTGCTATTTTGAAACTGAATCTCACTGTGTAGCCCAGGCTGGCCTTAACCTCATAATCCTCTTGCCTCTGCTTCTTGAGTACTGAAGTTCAGATATAAACCACTATTTGCAGCAGCATCTTTGCTTTTCACATACTTGAACAAGAAAACTGAGGGCAGTGGTACACACCTGTAATTCTGGTACTCAGGAGACTGAGGCAAGAGGATAGTGAGTTCAAGGCTGGCCTGGACTATAGAGCAGGAATCTGTCTCAAAAAATATTAATAGGAGCTAGATAGAAAGCAAGCTCAGTAGGTAAAAGAGCTTGCTCTGCAAACATGAGGACTTGAGTTTGAATTCCCAGTAATGCCAGGCATGAGAAGAATTAGGAATTGATAGCACTTGAGAGAAGAAAAATCAGTTTTCTTCAAATGGAATGACCACAGGGTATGTCAACCACACCCCAGGCAGCACACTCATCAGTAGTTGGTCAACACAAATTGGAATCCATTACTTTTGGTGGTTTTTTGTTTTGTTTTTTGAGAGAGAAAGAACAAAGTTGGGTGGATGGGGGAGGGAATCTGGCTTGAGGTGGGGGAAATATATTGTATAAAATTTTCAAGGAATAAACTGGGTGGTGGTGGCACATGCCTTTAATCCCAGCACTTGGGAGGCAGAGGCAGGTGGATCTCTGTGAGTTCAAGGCCAGCCAGAGATATTACACAGAGAAACCCTGCCTTGAAACAGACAAAAAAGCCCTTAGAGAATAAATAAAAACATAAAAAAGTCAGGCATGACTGTACATACATGACTATACATATTTGCACTGAGGGTAGAGACAGGCAGATCCAGTCTACCCTAAATGGAAACTTCCAGCTGAGAGACCCTGTCTCATGACATAAGGAAGAGAGAACAGAGAAGACACCTGAAGTGCTGCTCTGGCCTCTGCATATGTGAAAGGGCACACATACCTCCACACTCACAGGCATGTACAACACACAAATACACTAATAAGTAAATATGCTTAACCAAGATTCCATACTCTTCTCAAGATTATGAACTACGCAAATGTGCCTGCTTTGTATTTGCAACATTCCTTCAGATCATTCAGAGGCTTTCCTTGAGTCACATTTGCCGTTTTCCCAAATACAGAATTTAATTTCTTACCCTTTTTGGAAGCAATTCCTCTTGGGCTAAAAATCCCCGCTTGTGCACAGAGGGGTCATAGTCACCATACTAGAAGGAAAAGAAAAGAGATCTGGTGATTGAGATTCTAAATACTACTGTCATTTCTGAACAAGGCTCAACTCAGTTGGTCCCTCCTCCCACTTCCAGGGAGTGATTCAATTCTGATGACAAGATTTCAACCTTGCCAGTTTGTTATCCTTGAATGAAAATACAAAGCTGATTACATCTATACGCAGAGTTGCAAAATCTCATAAGGGATGGATGGGTGATGTGCTAATAAGAATGTGACATTTGTATGGAAATGTAGTCTGTTTCCTAACCCTCAAAGAAAGCAGTCATTTTCAAACATTAGCTTTGGACTGGAAACAACAAAACACAACTGTGAAAGTTGTGATTAGCAAAGTGTGATAAGAGTCTTACCTACAAATGTCTCTAAGTGGCTGGTAATTGGAGCCGATTGCTAGGTGGGACCAGGGAATGCAGGCAGTTTTTAGTGCCTTTGCTCAAGGCTCTGAAAATTGCTTTTGGAAGATTTGACATCAATATACTGTCATTCTTACTGCCCAAAGAAACAAATAAAAGGTTAACTGATATAGCCAAAGCTGTAGAGCCAGGCACTAGTGAGGCCTGTAATCTAAGTTATTCCTCCAGGGGCAACAACCCAGATATTTATCCTCTTATTTTTAAACATGCTACTCCTGCTGGGCAGTGGTGGCGCACACCTTTAATCCCAGCACTCAGGAGGCAGAGGCAGGTGGATCTCTGAGTTTGAGGCCAGCCTGATCTACAGAGTGAGTTCCAGGACAGCTAGGAAACAAATAAACCAACAAATAAATAAACTACTCCTTTCTTTCCTAGAAAACTTAGGTCAGATCAGAGAATCATCAATTATCAAAGAATGGGGCAGGGAAGACGCTTGGTGGCACAGCACTTGCCTAGCATGCATAAAGCTTCAGGTTCAACTCCCAGTCTCAGATATAAAGAGAGACTGTGGGCTAAGCATGGTGGTGCATACCTTTAGTCCCAGCCCTCAGGAGGCAGAGGCAGCTGAGTTTGAGGTCAGTCAGAGTTACATAGTGAGACCCTGTCTCAAAGTAAAATAAAAATAAATAGGCAAGAGAAACAGAAAACAATAGACTATAAACAGAAAGCCTTATCTTAGCAGTCAGCAGTCAATGGGTTCTCTCTCTTTTACATTTACTTATTTGGGGGTTGGTGCAATGCCACAGTGCTTATGTGGAGTCAGTTCTTTCCTTCCACCGTGTGGGTTCCAGGGATCCAGTTTAGGTTGTAAGGCTTGGCAGCAAGTGCCTTTACCACTGAGCCATCTCAGCAGCCCAGTGGTTTATCTCTCTCTTTTCTTTAATTAAAAGTTTTATTTCATTTTATCTGTAAGAGTGTTTCACCTGCATGTAGAATGTCTATGTCCCATGTGTGTGCCTACTGCCCTTGGAGAGCAGAAGACAACATCAGATCCCTGGGAACTAGAGTTACAGATGGCTGTGAGTCACCACATGGGTGCTGAGACTCAAGTCTGGTCCATCTGTAACAACAGTTACAGAGAAGCCAGTTCCCTATTCTGGCTTCTGCAGGCACCAGGCATGCACACAATGCACACACATACACAAGGTAAAACATTCATATACATAAAATAAGAACAAATAATTTTTTAAGAATTTAAAAGGAAAAAGAGCAAATTTCTGCAAGTCTAAGCTTTCTTAAATGAAAGCACTGGCTCTGGAAGACCCCAAAGAGACCTCTAGAGGGCTGCTGTGGAGGTCTTTGAATAAGAGGCCCTCTCTTAAGCCACAGTGTCCTCACCTGTAAAGCAAGGAACAAACTGTAAAGAAATCAAGGCAAGCATTTTGGGGTGGTGCTGAACCCTGATGAAAGTCAGGCATGAGCATTACGGCATCCTTTGCATTACTGAAGACTTCACAGGATATGACTGAAAGCCATGTTAGTTGCATTTGCAAGCCTTTCAATACTTGCCAATCAAATTTTAATGCAAAAGTAAGCAGATACGCTAAGCTAAAGTTGTAAATGCAGGTCTCAAAAGCTTGCAAGATTAATGACCCCTGTTATTAAATTATACCAAGCTCCCAGGTACACTGATCAAATATATTACATCTGAGCAATACAGAGGGGTGAAGATTCTGCTGCAAGAGCTTCTTCACTGAACTAGCTCCACTCACAACATTAAAGCTACCTTGATGTCTATTTAAAAAACAAAGGGGAAAAATGCCAGTGTTGTGGCAGTAAATATAAAAGAAAGCCATACCACACTATAGATGGAAACGACTACTCCTCATCTTTTTATGTAACAGAAACATTCTGATAAGATCTAGGTGGATTTACTGTGAAAGTAAGAAAGCTGGAGTCTCAAAGCTCTGCAGCTTTGTGGGCTTGCACTTAATTTTATATTCATCATTTGGTATTCCTCTATTAAAGAAAAACCCCTAAATTGCCCAAATTTCAGAGCCCACAAAACCTGATCTTATACACTGCGTGGTGGTGATGCACATTTTTAATCCCAACACTCAGGAGACAGAGATAGGCGGAATCTCTGTGAGTTGGAGGCCAACCTGGTTTACAGAGCGAGTTCCAGGATAGGCTCCAAAGCTACAGAGAAACCCTGTCTCAAAAAACAAAACAAAAAATAAAACAAAAAACCTGATCTTATACTGCCCCTTATAAACATCTTGAATTGAAATTCAAGAAGGAGAAGACTGGGGATGTAGATCAGTGATGTAGCTTAGCATGCAACAGACCCACGTTCATTTTTTTAAATTAAAACAAACCAAGCAAATACCATTATCACTTTGAGGAACTAACAATAAAGATAAAATTCTTGAGGGTGGTGGGGTAGGCTGGAGACATGGCTCAGCAGTTAAGAACACCTGCTGTTCTTGCAGGGGACCTGGGTTTGATTCCTAGCACCTACATGGCAGGTCACAACTGTCTGTAACTTCAGTTCAAGATACCTGATGCCCTCTTTTGGTCTCCTTGGACACTGTACACACATGATGCACAGAGATACACATGCCGGCAAAACACCCATACACATAAAAATAATTAAAAATTTTGGGGGGGGGCTTGTGATATAGCTCAGCAATTAAAGTTATTTGTTGCCAAGTCTAATGACCTGAGTTCTATCCCAGGAACCCATGATGGAGAGAACCAACACATGAAGTTGTCCTCTGACCTCAACATCCATGTCTTGGTAAGAGTTGCATCCCACCCCCGTCAAACAAAATAAATAAATGTCTTTTTAAAATATAAAACAAACAAAAAACAAAAGCCATCATTCATCTGTTGAGATGCCTCTGCCAGTAAATATGCCTATTGTTAAGTCAAGTTTGACAACCTGAGTTTAATCTTCATGGCGCAAGGGAGAGAACTGACTCTTGTTAGTAGTCCTCTGACCTCTACATACATGCTATGCCAGGCACACACACAATAATAAATAAATGTCATTAATTTTTTTGAAGTTTTTTTTTTTTTTAGGGTTTCTCTGTAGCTTTGGAATCGGTCCTGGAACTCACTCTGTAGACCAAGCTGGCCTCGGACTCACAGAGATCCATCTGCTTCTGCCTCTCAAGTACTGGGATTAAAATTGTGCACCACCAATGCCCAGCATAACTAATTTTTTAAAAGATTTTATTTATTTGTTACATATAGTGTTCTACTTGCATGTTTGCTTGCAAGCACACCAGAAGAGGGCACCAGATCTTATTTTTAGATGGTTGTGAGCCACCATGTGGTTGTTGGGAATTGAACTCATGACCTCTGGAAGAGCAGCCAGTGCTTTTAACCTGTGAGCCATCTCTCCAGCCCATAATTAATTTTTTTAAGATCAACTTGTGTCAGGCAGTGGTGGCACATACCTTTAATCCCAGGACTCAGGAACCAGAGACAGGCAGATCTTTTGAGTTAAGGTCAGTCTGGTCTACAGAGCAAGTTCCAGGACAGCCAGAGCTACACAAAGAAGCCCTGTATCAATAAACAAAAACAACAAAAATACCTGCTCTTTGTTGCTTTGGGGCTGGGAGTAGAGATCAGTGGTAGAGTATTTATTGACCCAAGTCAATAAGTACTACATCTCCAGTACTACAAAATCAAAAGCTCACCATTTATTTATACAACTCTGTAAGTATTTTTTCCTATTTTTAGGAGGCTAGGTGTTTGGCTATCTCCTATGTTGCCCAGGCTAGCCTCAAACTCCTGGGCCTGAGCAATTCTCCTGCCCCAGACTCCCAAGGAGCTAGGCGTAGCTACTTGAAATGCCTAAGCTAAAAGGAGTCTCTTTCTGGGTATTAATTCCCTCTCTGTATATGCAATGGAAAAATCAGACCAAATGTTCTAAATGGGTCCTAATAAATCAAAGTTTGTCATCTGTCTGTCTTTCTTCTTCTGCTGCTGCTGCTTCTTTTTTTTTTTTTCTCAAGACAGGATTTCTCTGTGTAGCCCTAGCTGTCCTGGAACTCATTTTGTAGACCAGGCTGGCCTCACACTCACAGCAATCCTCCTGCTTCTGCCTCCCAAGTGCTAGGATTAAAGGTATGCACCACTATGCCCGGTTTACATATATTTTTTATTCTTTTCTTTCTTTGTATCCATCTGTGTAAAATAGATTTCTACTACATATAGTCACTAAATTCCATATGAATCAAGGATTTAAACCTATAAACAAAAATCCATAAAAGTACCAGACATGAGAGGATGGGCACAATAGTAGTTAGTGAAGTCATTCTCAAGCCTGACACAGACCAGCAGACAAAGGTTGCTATCATTATAGATGAACCCCTATAGATCAATCGGAAAAAGACAAGAACACAGTAGAAAAGGGGCAAGTCATAAACAGCCACCACAGAATAAGAAGGAACAAATGGCCAGTTAACCCCAGAGATGCTTAGTCCCATGGCAAATCAAAGAATACATTTAAAAAACAAACAAAAAAACCCTATTTTTTGAAGTAGGTCAGCAAAACTTTAGAAAGACTCTTCATATCCATTGTTGGGAAGGACATGCAAAAGCAGGTATTCTCACATACTGCTGCTGGAAGGTAGATCAGAACACACTTACAGAGGACATTTATGTAGTATTTAAGGAAACCTTTACCTACATGAAATTTATGGGTGTTCTGACTGTGTAGTCCTAGCTGGCCTGGAATTCACTAGGTAGGCCAAGTGGGCGGGTGTTGAGCTCACAGAGATCAGCCTGCCTTGGCCTCCTGACTCCTGGGATTACTGGACTGTTCTGGTTTTAAGACAGGAGGGTCTCAGGTATGGATGGCACAATGGCCTTGAACTGAAGCTTCCTAAATAACAGGATGGTTTAAACTCTAGTTCTGGGAGTTGGACTCTGCCTCAGGGATTACACACATGTACCACCACTCTCCATTTATATGTTGCTAAGGACAGAACCCAGGGCTTGTTGCATGCTAGGCAAGTACTCTACTAACTGAGCCACGTCTCTAGTACCGTCCTTGACATATCCAACCACTGCCTGAGGTGGGAACCTCAATCTCTGACTAGGACAATCACTACAATTTAAAAAAAAAAAAAAAAAAAAAAAAATCTCCTTCTCTGTTTCTGGACTTCTCTCACTCTGTAACCTTGGCTGGCCTGAAATTTGCTATGTAGCCCAGGCTGGCATTAAATTCAGAGGCCCATCTACCTCCCTAGTGCTGGAATTAAAGGCTTACTGCATCACACTGGGCACTGATTTGTTCTTTAAATAGCCACCAAAGGTTCTGTGCAAAACACAAACCCTTCACTGGCTCAGCAGCACCTATAGGCTAGTGGTAAGACCTTTCAGGATCTGCTCCCCTAAAGAGCTCTCACCTTCAACTCTTGCCACTGTACTTGTTTTTATATGTACTCAACTTCTTACTGAACTGCATTTAGCCACTGTCCCTGTCACTAAGCTTCTCCCACTATATTTTGTTTTGTTTGTTTTGTTTTGGGGACAAGGTCTCTGTATGTCATCCTGGCTATCCTGGAACTGGGCAAGTGGACCAGGCTGGCCCAAACACTCAAAGAGATCCTCCTGCCTCTGCTTCCCAAGTGCTGGGAATTAAAGGTGTGTACCACAAAGCCTGGACAGAGTCATTTATTTTTAGTTTATATGTATCATGTGAGCCTTTGTGAGTGAGTATATGTGTATCACATGTGTGCAGGAGCCCTTAGAGACCATTAGAAGGCACTGAATCTCCCAGAACTGAATTTACAGGCAGTTGTAAGCTGCCATGTAGGTTCTGAGAAGCAAACCCAGGTCTGATTCAAGAACACTAAGCACTCTTAGCTGCTGAGTCATCTCTCCAGCTCCATCTTCCACTAATCTTTTCTTCCTTCTGAAAGAGCCTACAGGTAGCACCAAGATTCACCAATGATATCTTATTCTCTCCTAGTAATTTTCAGTACAAACATATCTCAGAACAAAAGAAAAACATATTTGAAACAGCAAATTGTCCATATAAAATCCAACAGGTGTCTTAAAAATTATAAGACGACTTTGATTGTCATGTGACTTATCTGTTCTTTTGATTATAGCATAACGCAAACAAGAACAAAGAAATATGGTTCTTGTTGACTGAACCATGTGATTAATATTTGTATTTATACTTTGAAGCTAATTGTTTCTTTATGCTTTGAAATTAAGTGTGTCTATATCGTTCCAACAGCTGAAATACTGTAATGAATACATTTGCACTCAATTATGTTCCATGTGTTAATGAGCTCAATTCCACTTCCCCTCCATACTTTTAGAGTTTCTTTCTATTTCAGAAAGGCTAGGAAAAAAACAAACTGTACATAATGGAAGGAGTCAGTATGGTTTACTGAAAAGTTCAGGTTGTTTTTATTAATTTTTTTGTTTGTTTATTGCCTATGTTTAGTTTACTTTGCCTTTATATATGTTTGCATGAAGGTGTAAGATCCACTGGAGCTGGAGCTACAGACAGTGGTGAGCTGTATGTGGGTGTAAGTGTTGGGAATTGAACCTGGGACCTCTGTAAGAGCAGCCAGCACTCTTAACTGCTGAGCCATCTCTCCAGCCCTGAGGTTGTTTCATCTTGTAAATGAAACTAGCATTAGTGAAAGTTAATGCCTGACCACCACATACCTCACTAGACAGGAACAAGGTGCTTGGTCAGGCAGCCCAGACACCCGGGTTTCCAGCCTGGCTCTACCCTTCATCCCACTGTTTCAATCTTCATGAAGAGGCAGGTAACTAACTGTACAGTAGAGCATTTGCCTCACATGTCTAAAGCTTTGGGATCTTTCCCTTGTAACATGAAAACAAAAAACAACAAAACAAGTGGTTTGTACATTTCATAAGTACAGAAATAACATAGAAGTATTGACTTTGAACAAACCATTACTCGCCCCCCCCCCACAGGGTTGTCCTGGAACTCACTCTATAGACCAGGCTGACCTCAAACTCACAGAGATCCACCTGCCTCTGCCCCTGAGTGCTGGAATTGAAGACATTGCACCACTACACCCAACTCATTCATCTTTTCTAACCTTTGATTTTGTCATGAGGAAAATAAGCACTAGTCTTGCCTCTAAAAACTACTACATGGAGTATCTTGTGAAACAGTCTGTTGAACACTTTGCTAAACATTATGGATATGGCTCATCCAGCTCATCCTAAATATCCTCTCACTATTAACCAGCAGTCCAAGAAACTGGTAGCATTGCTATGGTTAAGACCTAGTTTCCTGAATGCAAACAGGAAATCACTTTACAGCCCTTGCTGTCCTGGAACTCACAAGGATCTGACTGCCCTGCCTCATATTAAAGGTGTGTACTGCCACGCCCAGCCTGAATACAGACTTTTTGTTTGTTTTGGTTTTTTGTTGTTGTTGTTTGGTTTGGTTTTTTTAATTTATTTAACTTTATTTTATGTGCACTGGTATAGAGGTGTCAGATCCCTTGGAACTGGAGTTACAGACAGTTGTGAGCTGCTATGTGGATGCTGGGAATTGAACCCTGGTCCTTTGGAAGATCAGCCAGTGCTCCCAACCACTCAGCCATCTCTCCAGCTCCTGGTTTGGTTTTTTTGAGACAGGGTTTTTCTGTATTGCTTTGGAGCCTGTCCTGGAGCTCACTCTGCAGATCAGGCTGGCCTTGAACTCACAGAGATTCACCTGTCTCTGCCATCTGAGTGCTGGGATTAAAGGTGTGCCACCATTGCCCAGCCTGAATACAGACTTTAAAGGCTAGAGATTACCTTTATTTGTAAGATTCCTAAATTTAACACCGGAAAAAATAGTTAAGAGCACCCACCTCCATATGAGCCACATATGCTGTCTGTGAATCACTTTCATCTCCAAATTGGCAGAAGCCAAGTAAGTAGGGCTTTCCTGCAGTGAAATCTGTTCAAGCAAACATCTGCTAGTTCCTTGAAAAATGATCCCCACCCCTCTGCCCCCACACAGGTGGCCTTTGAATTTGTGACCCAAAACCCATAGCCTTAGAGAGTGAGGTAGTATCCTTGAGAGCCTGGGTCTCAAATAGGAGAAAGCACGCAAGAAGGAACTCAACTCTGGGCCAAGAAGCACGTGGATTTAATGAAAGTAATGATAACTGCTTTGTCACTGTTAGGACTGAAAGAATACGTTTTTCCTGTTACTAATATTCTTGATCAAAGCATAAAAGGAGCATATGCTTTACTTGAACCACAGCCCATTTTCTGTTTTCTCAATTACTCCTTTTTCAAGGAAGGCATAAAACACAATTCTAAAGCCATAGATTCTGTGTCTAGCTTTACCCATGAAGGTACCAGTGACCTTGGAGAATCACTAAGGGCAGAACTTGCTCTAGTGTCTGCATCTGACAGTTAACAAGCCTCTTGCCCCATGCCTTGTGACTACTCAGCAGACACTAATGAGTCATCAAATGATTAAACTGACTCTGCTTCTACTGGCCTGACCAGCATACAGACTTTGAAAACCCTTTTTCCAATCCAAATGACAAAGAAGTCATTCCTGGCTTTGATCTAAAGTTGTATTAAAAATGTGATTTTTGTGGGAAATCCAAGGGTCATAAACATCCTAGTTGGCCTTATAAGATGGGACAAGGGCTCAATACTCAATGATGCTCTTCTTCCACCACTCCTGGTCTGCTGTCTAAATGAGAGTGAATGACTTTAGGCTAATGAGACAGCATCACTGGGCCAGCAGGCTCAGCAGATCCAGCTCCCAGCTACATGCACAAAATATGCCACTGGGATCTCACCAGGAGTGTGGTTCCTAAGAATGTAGTCTCTGGAAAGATGAGTTTCAATGGAGAATCTGGGTCTTGCTGACCTCAAAGCCTCATTTGATCATAATTAGAGACCATAAAGTCACTTTTCCTAATAAAACAAAGCTGATGTGATGAATGTAATGAGCCACATGTGCATAATGAGATTAAACAGAAAATTCCTCTTTTTGAATGAATTGTAACTCATTAGAATGATATTCTTGTCACTTGTATACACAACATCATACATATATAAAATAGACATAAGTTGAGGTAGCAACAGTAGATGCCCAAGTATCATGACATCTCATTTTTGGAGGCAAGTTGTTCTGAAGTCCCCCAAATCCAAAGAAATGGAAAACTGGATCCATGCTGTGTGACAAGTTAATGAGAAAAAATGCATTTTTTCTTTCCTTGCACCCACCTTGGCTTGGACAGCATAGGAAGCCAAGAGCACTGAAGCCTCAGGAGGGCAGTAGATCTTTTCATCCAAAATCTGCTTCTTCACCTGAAAGAGGCATTGAAAGAGATGAGATGGCACGTGTGGAAGACAGCAGTGCCGCCTGGTCACAGCAGATGGCTGCAGCGTATTCTAAATGACGGCTGCCAAAGCAGCCTGTTAATGATTTTTTTCTGACAAAGGGTACTTTTTTTTTTTTTTTTTTTAAGTGTTGCAGACCAGTTGAGAGTTCAGCCACCAACAGGTTATCAGTAATCTAGCTGCACAAAAGCCCTCATCTCTCCTCCTCAGAGTCAAGGCTAAAGAGTAAATAAGATCTGCTTGATCACAGCAGCTGCACTGGGTCTCAGTCTTGGCCCCTGTGGAACACTCACAGTACTAGAGGAGATGGAGTCTACTTTCAAATCTCCACACAAGACAAAAGTCACCAAGGCCACTGAATTATGACTACAGAAAAAAGTCATCACTTCCAATGTGCTGTTCTAAGGAAAAAGGAAGCAATAAAATTTGATTGATTCAACTTTTAAATACACATGAGGTTCAGGAAATATAATTCCTAAGCCATAATGTTGAATTACCATATCTCATTGCACCTAATTCTGTATAGTGATGCAGTGTATGATGTTCCAGACACAAGGACAAGAGAGCCACATGAAGTGGGGGTACATTAAGCAAAGCCAACTCTTTTCAGTGATTTCTATTAGTAGATGTTGCCATGCTTACTCACAAAAACAATCTAACATTTCAATATGAAGGAAAACCAGCAAAAGTCATAGGGGAACAGGAGATGCCTCAAGTCCTCACAGGAAAGCCATTTCTTTAACACTAAGGTATTCTGGTCTCCTGTAACTGAAGATGACTCTGAACTTTTGATCCTCCTGTGGATCACAAAAGTACACTGTGCTGCTTATACTGCGCTGGGGTTAAAACCCCAGGTTTCATGAATACAAGGCAAGCATTTTATAGACAGCTACATACTCAACCACCAGAAGAATCTTCATGTGGCTTCATTCACACATACATCCCCCCCCCAACACACACACACCCCGCCCCCTGTTTTAAAACTAAGAGAAATGAAAGTTGGGATGTTCTGAAGCAGTGAAACCTTCAATTCTCCTAGTTTCTTTACAAAGAGATAAAAGAAGCCATAATACAAACAATCTGACAAAGGGGCTACCTTTTGACCTAAAACACATACACATGCATGCAGGCATGCAAGCATGGAACTCATTTGTAAAAGAAACTATTTAGCTAGGCATGGGACACACATCTCTGCATTCTAGAGGCTAAGGCAAAAGGATCTCAAGTTCAAGGCCAGCCTTAGCTAGCGAGTGAGATCCTCTTAATGACACAACCCAACACAGCATTATATGGAGAGTAATATCACATTTCACATACTATATCATGTACACATTATATAGAAGCTCCATATTATAAGGATGGTATGAAAAATCATTGATGTACTTCTGGGAAATCAATGTATTTAATGCCCTGTCACAATCTTTTACAGCATGGACAATGGGGCACCTTAGGGCACATAAGCAGCTTTAGTATCAATCACTACAGATAGTCATGAAACTGAGGAGGCTCCCTGACTATGACAAAACAGGTTTCCATCCTTAAATGAAGCACCTCGTTGTGCTCCTAGATGGTCAACCTGTAATTCTTCAATTTAGTTGAATTACTTAAAAGAATACCAACTGCATATTCAGTGAGCCTATCTTTAAGGGGCTTACACTCCAACGAAGGAGGAAATGACAATATACACCCAGAGTAGCACAGAGCAGGCTATCTGAAACACCTTAGGCATAGGACAGACCAAGAGTCACTGCCATTCAGAAGAACTGCCTTGATGATGGGAGATCTTGAACTTTAAAGGAAATTTTTGGCAAGCCTCTGAAGCTTTTCTTTATAACCTCAGAGAACTTTCAAGTTAGCCAGAAGAAACTGAGATCCATGTTCATGGAGGTTTATATATTGGGTAACTCCTTCTGTCTATTCTTCATCACACCTCTGCAATTTCATCTGATACCAATTCTCATCACTTGGGTAAAGTTCTATTCTGAAGATATTTTTTCCCATTATTGAACCAAAAGGACTGACTATTTGGAGGCAGAACATTTTCTGCAGTGTAGAAGCATTTGTGGTCAACTCCAAGGGGTTCACCTGGGCTGCTTCTACAACTATACACAAATCAGTTCTCTTAGAACTGGGGGAGATACCATGGGTAGGCGTACCTGTAAGAAAAATAAGTGTTGCGTGATCTCTTGAACTAGCTCCTCCTCAGCATTTTCAGGATAAAATTTGGCCAGGAAGTGAAATGTAACTGGTTCTTCCTTTGAAACATCATGATCCAACACCTGCAGAATTTCAGAGCAAAAGACATGCTGTGCTGGCTTCTCTTCTTTATGTACTACCATCAGAGCATGCTTTGCAGGGAAGGTATAAAATCCATCCCACTTCCCAAAGGCTGTGTTTCTACAGTTGGGAAGCATTCACAGAGCCATACATAGCAGGAGATAACATCCACTTCACTCAGGGAATTCTGAATCAAACCAATCAATAAACCCATGGGGTGACCAGAGCTAACAGTGACCAGAACCAGTGTTCTCAAAGTCACAGAGAATAGTTACAAACTAGAATGCATAACTCAAAGGTCTTGGGCATTATCCTTTATGGAAGACTGAGGATTTACAAAGTTTTATTTTTTCCTGAAATAGTAACATCTTACTTTATTCTTTGCTACTGCCCACTCTAATTAGGTTCTGTTGGAATATAACTTAAATACAATAAACTAGATTTTTGTGTTGTCACTGTGTTATGAATACTAGAAGTGAAACATGGCCATCATGGCAATGCTTTGTTCCTGGAATCTTTCAGAGATGGCCACAAAATGCTTGCAGTGCAGTAAGAAAACCACTGCCTTTAATCTTGTAACAATCCCACCAACCCCCTGAAAAGCTTGGACCATCTGCTCTCCAGAGTGAATTTCATTTCAGGACATAAACATACTACCAGGCTCCATTAACATGTGTCATAATTTATTTCCTTTGAGCAGCAGGTTCTATGACTCCCGATGCCCCCAATCTAATATCCATTTGGCTAACATTCAGGTATGATTTAAAATTCACTTTGCTGAGAATCATAAAAAGACACAGAAAGCTTAGCTGTCTCTGATATGTAATTCTCCATATGCATGCCCAAATTCCAGTGGCAGTCCCCAAGGAACTCAAATTAAGTCTAATCCTAGTTGCCTCTTCAGCACTGTATCTTTGTGGCATTTGGCGTTTCTAGTCATTGGGAATGACCATTGAAACTGACAACCAACAGAAGTTTTAAGCATGAAGGAGATAACCATATACATGTTGTGAACATAATGCGAACATCTCACTTAACACTAGTAAGATGACACTTTTTTAGTTACCATTTTATGTGTTAGATAACTTCAGGGGCAATTGACAGGGGCACCATTTAGGATCAGAATTAGACATGGAGTTACTTTGGGAATCCAGGGTCTTTTGGCCCCGTTCTCCAGCTGTTTTCACTGTTAGGTGGCCAGGAAAATAGATAGACATGTCTTTGTGTGAATATATGAACCCATAAATGGCAGCTTCCCTAAGCCATAGCCATTTCCAAGCCACCTTCAAATTTCTAGAAACCTAGATTTGATGTGCTTAAGAAATCCCAAAGAGGCTGGGCGTTGCGGTGCACGCCTTTAATCCCAGCACTCGGGAGGCAGAGGCAGGCGGATCTCTGTGAGTTCGAAACCAGCCTGGTCTACAAGAGCTAGTTCCAGGACAGCCTCCAAAGCCACAGAGAAACCCTGTCTCGAAAAACCAAAAAAAAAAAAAAAAAAAAAAAAAAGAAATCCCAGAGAATCCTGAGGAGGAAACGGGATTGCTCCTTCATCTCAGGCTCTTTATTCCTTCGGTCTCATTAATGATTAAGTCAGTTGGGTCTTGGTGTTCTCAAATACTTATTAAAAAATAAATAAATGAACATGAGCCCTAGGAGAATCTCTCAAAGACATAAATTGTGTTTTTTTTAAGTATACAAAGATAATTGTAATATTATCCATAAAACCTGACTAGTGGTTCAATAAACTGAAGGGCATAATGCCAAAAAGCAAACAGGGCAGTGACAATGGGCAGAAAAGCTAGTCAAGGTTTAGTCCTGGTGAACCCTGCTTGTCTGGAGAGTCTGTGCAAAGCAGAAATGCCTGTAGGATTTGCCTCCTACATACATGACCTAATCTATATAAAAAAAATTGATCCCTTCTTTACCCTTGTGATACCCCAACAAAGAGCAAATAAGCTAAGCGCAAGCTCAGGGAAAAACAAAACAAAAAAAAACAGGAAGCATAAGCCTCCCCCAGGGTTTCATGGAGATCTAGTCCAACCTTCTTGTCCATTTTGAGCCAGGCCACAGTGTCCTTGATTGTGTACTGAAGTCCAAAGAACCAGGTTTCCCGAAGCCCCAGTGTTCGGCACACCAAATCAAACAGGTCCTTCCCTTTCCATTTCATCTGCAATATAACAAACCAACAGGGAAGGACATTGTGAGCAAAATCATAATCAGCTCACACACAGAACTGTTCTCAGTGCTCTCTACTGTCACCAAAATGGCTGATGAGCACTGAACTCCTAAATAATTGTAAAGCTTCCCACACAAAACCATGAGTGGGAAAATACCAATTAGAGTTTAATGGCTCAATTGCTGTGGAGCACACACAATACCTCCTTGGACAGTTCCATACAGATCTCAATATCCCCAAAGCTGCTAATTTAGGAAACCTGGTAAATAAGCAGCCTCATTTAGGAGAGTCAAGCCTCCTAAATTAGCCCAGGAAGATGGCTAGTTTGTGAGACACTAATTCCCTTGAGTTTGGTTTTTTTTTTTTGGGGGGGGGGGTGGTTTTGTTTTTTAAATCATGACTCTGCCTTTTGATAAAAGGTAAGTATTCACTTTTTAACTTAAAGACTAGTTTTACTAGGAGAAAAATTAAATATATGGAAGTTGGAACTAAAATTACAAAAATTGTAGAACAGAAGAACAATGAGAAGTCAGATAGGCCAGTTGCAGATCTCTATCAGGATGCCTGGTTGGGCCCAAGCAAATGCAACTTGACCACAGGCACAAAGGCAATTCCAAATGCTCACTGTAGCCTCACTTTCAAAAGCACCCAAATCACTGCTAAACCTTTTTCTCTGTTATTCAATGGTGTAGCTGGAAAAAGCAAGCTCAAACATCTTCACAGGGAACGAGGATGCAGGGCAGCTGAGTAAATGTTGCCACCTAGTGGCTTTCAGTCAGCTAAGTTTTTTTCCTGTATCACCTCTCAGCTATGCTGCCCCATATATCAAATAAACACTTGAGTACAGTTATGATCATATGAAACATATGCACAAGCAATCCTGAGATGCGAATGTAAGGGAATGTAAGACCACCTGATTGTAGAAGTAGCTGCTCTTCTTTCACCCTCATTAGAAAACAGCTCAGTAAAGTGCTTCTCACTTAAGCCTGAGAACTTGAGTTTGAACACTCAGGTAAAATTTGTTTGTGAGCCTGGTGGTGGTGGCACATGCCTTTAATTCCAGCACTTGAGAAGCAAATCTCTGTGAATGAGGCCAGCCTGGTCTACAGAATGAGTACCAGGATGGCCAGGGCTACACAATGAAACCCTCTTGAAACACCCCCTGCCCCAAATAAATGTGGTTGTGGTAGCCATGCTTGTAATCCTGCTGGCATGCAGGCAGAAGACTGTATACATAATAAATAAATAAAATCTTAAAAAAAGAAAGAAAGAAAAAAGAAAGAACTGGAGAGATAGCTCAGTGGTTAAGAGCACTGGCTGCTCTTCCAGAGGACCTGGGTTTAATTCCCAACAACCACATGGTGGCTCACAACTATTTGTAATGAGATCTGGTGTTCTTTTCTGGTGTACATGTAGATAGAGCCCTCATATAAATATGATAAATAAGACAAAGAAAGAAAGAAAGAAAGAAAGGAGGAAAGAAAAAGAAAAGAAAAGAAAGAAAGAAAGAAGGAAAGAAAAAGAAAAGAAAAGAAAGAAAGAAAGAAAGAAAGAAAGAAAGAAAGCCATCGATGGTAGCAAAGACCTTTAATCCCAGTGTTACATAAGCAGAGGCAGGAAGATCTCTGAGTTCAAGGTCAAACGTCAAACTGGTCTACAGAGCTAGTTCCAGGACAGTCAGAGCTACACAGAGAAACACTATCTCCCTCCACCCACATGCCATCAGCAGGCACACACACACACACACACACACACACACACACACACACACACACACACACAACATGAACAAGGTGAATGGCTCCTGAGGAACCAGAGGTTGACCTCAGTGTTTGTGTAGGGTGTGTGGTGTGTGCTATGAATATGTGGAGCTCAGAGGACAACTTGGTGGATCTGGTTCTCTCCTTAGACCTTTATATGGCTCTGGGGAATCAAACTCCTCTACACAGGCTTGTACAGTTAAGTGCCTTTACACACTAGCCATCTTGCCCACCCTTTACCATTTTCCCCACCCAAATGCTAGGGGTCAAACTCAGGGTCTTTCACTTCTTAAGCAAGTATTCTACTATCAGACCACATACCCAGCTTTAACAGATGTGAATGAACAGAGTCCTCTTCAGGTATTCAACAGGAGAAGCCATCTCTCTGTGTTTACAGCTAAAATCAGCAACCCAAATGGTAGGACATCTCGATCACAGCACATAAATGGCGTGTTGGCTTTGGTCCTTTGCTAAGCAAGGTATTTCTCCTATCTGTCCTGCAACTTGGCCCTATACCCTGACTATAGTCAGGTCCCTGGAATACTGACCGCAAAGATAGAAATCTTTAGAGATTTGTGAGTTGGAAAAACTTGAGTTTTATTTTTAAAATACAATTGCTTTCCCCCTTTATAAGGCTGGGTAATAGGTACACATATTTGACAACTGGACAGAGGGCTTTTTAATTCTTTGGAGGCCTTAATTCCTACAGGCAGACTTAACTGAAGAAATGTTATTTTGGAGAACTGGGAGCTTCAGGATGCTGATTATCCTCTTGTCTTTATTTTAAGCAGCACGCAGTATATAAATTATAAATGCCTACCTTGCCACAAGATAATGTGCCACTAAAGAACAGGCATTAACTTGGAGAAGTTAAACAACCGAGGAACAAGAGGATAAGAACATCACTCCCAATTCACCATAACTCACAGCCACAGCCATGCCAGGCCTTGGCACAAAGGGCTGTCAGAAGCAGGATGAGAAAAGCCCTGGAAGGAAAGCTTCCTTCCAAGGGGATGTGAGCTTCCAAACTAGAAAGCTGAAAACCTCTACTTAATACTGCATTACCGCAACTTTCCTGTTCCCCTCCACTTCTTTGTTTTTAAATCACAGGCCTGTTTTTTTGTTAAAGGCAAAAAGACAATGTCTTTTGCCCCATGGAGCTTGCAATAAAATAAAGAAACAGTTCTCAGAACAATCCAGAATCACTGACTATGGGACTGAAAACGAGCCTCAGGAGTCACCCACTGTGAACCTATGCTCTTTTTGTAAAGCTGAGTAAACTGAGTCACCAATGACTTGGCAGTTTACCAAAATAAACCCTGGCCTGTTTCTTCATGGTGACCCGAGGTAGGCAAACCCCTCTTCCTCTCACAAATACCCTTTTCCAGTTCTGTGATCATCAAATCTTTTTGTTCCTACCTTGGCCATTAAATGACTAACATTAAAACAGAACCCCTTCTGAGAAGAGTCAGACACAGCTCATTCACAGCTCTGTGTGAATAGAGTCCATTTCTAACAAGTACTGTATGTAGCACATGCTACACACTGAGGCTATACAATGGTGGAAGCAGGGTGTCTGTGGGAGAAAAAGGCAAGAACTCAGTTCAGAGAAGACTTGAACAAGTGAGGATTCAATGATGGAGGGAAGGAACACTATCTTAAAAACAAAACAAAACAAAAAAAAAACCATGATCATTACAGGGAACTGCAAGTCTATGTGATGAGACTGAAACTGACAGCCAGCCTCAGGAATGGGTGGGGGGTGTTGTGAGTGACACTTCATGCTGGAGCAGGTGGCTCAGGCTTTTCGGACTCATCTGCTTTATGCCTGAACTCGAATAATTGGGTGAAGAGTAAGTTTCAGGGAAGGACAGTTACAGGACAGACAAGAGCACAAAGCAGGTGACCTCCTCCTGTCATCAAGAAGGCAGAGGGAAAGAGGCTAGGAAGCAGAAGGAGGCAGTCCTAGAACCAGAACTTCAACAGGCTAGAGAGATTTAAAAAAAAAAAAAAAAAAAAAAAAAAAAAAAAAAAAAAAAAGCTGAAGGATACCTAGCTGAGAAGGAATAAAAAGAAAAGCAGCAAGTTTGGGGGGAAAAAAAACAGATGAGCAATTAAGTTTTAGACAAGATTAATTAAACTAAAGAAAGCAAGCGGCTGGTGATTTGTGCTTTTAATTGCAGCACTCAGGAGGCAGAGGCAGGCAGATCTCTAAGAGTTCAAGACCAGCCTGGTCTAGATAGTAAGTTCTAGGTCAAACAAGTCTACCCTGTCTCAAAAAAAAAAAAAAAAAAAAAAAAAAAAAAGGAAGGAAGGAAGGAAGGAAGGAAGGAAGCAAGGCAGAAAAGCAGAGATGTCCTAAATATATTTAAGCTTCAACCCTCTAAGCTGGGGAGCTGGCTCAGCTGCACATGCCATAAAGTCTAACATTATTAGTTCATTCTCTGGGACCCACGTGGTAGGAGAGAGCTGACCTCCACAACAGGTCATCCTCTGATCTTCATATATGTGCCCCCACACAGACACAAAGTAAATATACTTAAATATTCTTTAAAAACTTAAAGACCTTTATTTATAAAATAAGACATTCTAAGGTGAGGGGAAGATCAGTTGAGCCCAGTGTCACTGCGTGATACAGTGGGACCTCATTCCAAAACGTTTTGTCTGTCTTAAGCAATTAGTAAGTTTTTTGGCCAGACATGTTGGCTTACACCTGGAACCCTAGCACTTGAGAGGTTGAGGCAAGAGGCCAGCTTTGGCTATAAAGAGAGATTCAAAAAACAAACAAGCAAGCAAACGAGAAACAACAATCAAATAAAACAAAAATTTTCTGTTTGGCTAAATTTAATCTCTACATGTTACCTATAAAAGGTTGTGCTTTTCAACATGTTCTTCCTCAAATACATGAGGCTTCCTTTGTCTTCTGCTTCTCTATAAACACGGCTATTGGCCACGGGTGCTCTAGAGAGCTTTCACGTTCCTGTGAAAGGGAGGCTGGGCTTTCTTGGTGCAATATGGCTTGCCTGAACACGATTGTTTTATGTTATGCTTTGAAGTGACTCATTGTCATTTGAAGGTCTCTCCAGACTGCAGGCACCTCTAACCAGGAGCAGCATTAGTCATCATCCCCAATGACCAATGGAGAGTACACAAGACACACTCAACAGCAGCTGTCTAATATGACTGACTAGATGACTTTAAAACCCAAGGCTCAGAGGCTTAGAGTACAGT